TCTCTCTCTCTCTCTCTCTCTCTCTCTCTCTAGATCTCCCTAACTATCTAATATGATGGGCGAAGTGGACGAAGCAACAAGTATCAAGTTGTTCGGCGCAGTGATCCTCAAGGAAGACACACAAGCCAAGGAGAAGAAGGAGGCGAAGGACGAGACCGCGGCGGCCAGGGAGGCAGCGTCGGCCGTGGCGTTGCCGTGCCCGCGGTGCCAGAGCAAGGAGACCAAGTTCTGCTACTTCAACAACTACAACGTGAACCAGCCTCGGCACTTCTGCAGGGCCTGCCACCGCTACTGGACGGCCGGGGGCACGCTGCGCAACGTCCCAGTGGGCGCCGGCCGCCGTAAGATGCGCCGCGCGCCCCACGCCGGCACCACCCCGTCTGCCGGTGGCACCACCTGCGTCATGGCGTACCCGTCCCCTTCGTACCTGGCCGAGCGGTGGCTCCTGCGCCAGCGCCCGGAGGTGCAGCCGACGGCTGACTTCGCGACCTTCAATCGTGGACTTTGTTGACTCGTTTCGGGTCGGTGGGTTGGACCGTCGGGAAACGGGACACGTCTTGCGATTCCCATGGAAAAGTGGTGCTTGTTATTATGCGACTCATTTTCTAAAGCTTTTCTTGTCATCATCATCATCATTGTTATTAGTATGATTATTATTATTATTATTATTATGCGTTGAGATTTCGGCGAGGAAAGAGATGTATGTCACGTCGAGAACTTGGGAATCGAGCTGTCTTTTAGTTTACGAGATACAATCAAATGCCATGTTTGATGATCAACAAAATTATTCATCTCACAAATGGATATCGATCAGAGATCATAGATGCTTTGGGATTCATCCAATCTGATTGGCTTCTTTAAGATTCGGAATACCTATTACTTATAAACATTTTTAACTTCATAGAAAAAAAAGGTAGCATACTAATATTATTTCTGGACTGAAAAGTCCATCAGCAGCACCCTTCCGTCCGTTCTCCAACCTCACTCACTCACTGTCAGTAGCCAACGAAAGAAAGCTTTTCCAGGGAAGATGAGCAGCTCAAAGAAGAAAGAAAGAAAGAAAGAGAGCGACCTCCGCCTTCTTTTCTCGCTCTCACTTTAATTCAAACGCATGGCTCGGGAAACGGGCAGTGCTTCTGCTCTTCCGTACCAAACGGTAAAGACACTGTGGCCGAGGGTGGAGGGTCGATCTTCCGCCTTTGATCCGCGCTGCACGGATCTCACAGCACCATTTTACCTTTGAATTAATCCCCACCTCGCTTCCCTCTCGCTCTCCACAAGCTTTCGAGTTGATGCTTCGGGAGATCGGTCCGCGTGGGGTAAAGCTCTCGGGTTGGAACTTTCTTTCCCTTGCAAGTAGAATTAATTTTGATTCTCAAGCCTCCTCCTCCTCCTCCTCCATAGTAGTTTCTCTGATACGCTCATCTTTCCTGGTCTGCAAGCATGTTCTTCCTCTAGTTTCGGGAGTCGCTTCACCTCTCTGCTATATACCAGTAGATCTCATGGTTTCTTTTGTAAATCTAATTATGGCACTGCAATGGATATGTTCCCATTTGGAGACACAAGTAATTAATGAGGTAGTGGTGCGGTCCGCTGCCTCGAGCATGGAGGAAATTTATTGAATGGGGACGCTCCATGTTCGCATTCTTCCCATGGTTTGGCCTCACAACGCTGGGGTTGAAAACCTTCGAATCACGTAGAGATTTGCTGTAAAAATGATCAGATCGACCGGTGCCGGTGTTGGATTGCCAGGATCTAAATGTGGCGTGTGGGGTGCAGATTTCTGCTTCTTGTCGAGTGGGCGTGATAGTGTTTGAAATTTGAATTGTCTCCTCTGTTTATTTATTCTGACGTCTTCCTAGTTGATGTTATCGGTTGTCGAGCCAAAGCTTGATCTGTTCTTGCAAGCAGGTGGTTGGTGATCTCTCGTGACGAGACTTTCCTGCTTTGAGCTTCAATCCAATGTCGAAATCCAGGTAATGTCAGGGTGTAGATTCATGTGTTTGGCTTTTGATTTCGGAGTTACCGATCATTTGTCGGGAAACAGAGGAACGGAGTTGCCGCAGAGGCGGCCGCAGCGTGTGCCGCTCCACCAGAAGACCAACTCTGAGGTCAACAGCCTCCACCGCACAGCGGTGCCCGCAGTCGATCGCCGTGTGAAACCGGAGAAACGGCAGTCCCCTCGTTCTACCTTGCACGAGGTGAGCTTCCCACCCCCCGTGGCTGTCCGTTTTGATCTCGGCGTCGATGATTCAGTTATTGTGGCTACCGTTTCTGTAGATCCAGAGGAAGAGCGGCCCCAGGGTCGCCGATCTGGAGACCAAGCTCGGCAGAGCGCTGGTGGAGCTCGATAGGCTAAGGGACCGACTGGCCTTCGCGGAAGCCGCGAAGCTCGACGCGGAACGAGCTCTCGAGATGTCCAAGGAGCAAGTGCCCGCCGCCAGCGCAGTAGTGAAAGCAGTTGAAGAAGAGAAGCTTCTGCTTTCTCAGGACTCCGATGAGATATCCGAAGTCACTCAGGAGGCGAAGACCGAAGAGGAGAGCATCAATTCACCGAACACCAACGACGTCTTCCAAGTAGTAGCACCGACCGAGCCCATTAACCAAGAGAAAGACGATGTCAGCAAGCCTGAAGAAGACGAGACAGAAACGGCGAAAGAAGAGGAGAAGACAGAGGAAGAACAGTGTAAGAGGGTGGAAATTCCGGACTCGACTGAGATGGTCGAACTCAAGACCAAGCTACTGGAGAAAACGACAGAGGTGGGGATTCTGCTAGAAGAGAACGTGCTCTTCAAGAGGAGAGCAGCGGAGGAGACCGCGAAAGCGACCGCCGCAGCACGTGCCAAGGAAGACGAGCTCATGACGAAGCTGCGATCAGCGGAAGAGGAGCTGAAACAGAGCAAGGCGAAGGAGAAGCTGCTAACTGAGCAGCTGCAGGCGGCAGAAGGGGCGAAGTCGGTGCTAGAGGCGGAAATGAATCTGCTGAGGGTGCAGACGGAACAGTGGCGGAAGGCCGCCGAGGCGGCCGCCGCGGCACTGGTCCCCGGCGACGTCGGGGACGAAGAATGGGGTCCAGCGCTGATGGCCGGGGATGGCATGGGGGAGGAGGGGGTGGTGGCCGGAAGGAGGAGGAAGAAGGGGGCGGCCGGAGTTCGCATGTTCGGTGAGCTTTGGAAGAAGAAAAGCCTGCATAAGTAGAGATCGTGCGCTCTTTGTATCCGTATCTCCTTGTTTCGATGTATCGAACATGAAGCCGTAGGGAAGACGTAATTGGTTTGGACTAAGCTTTTGAACCTGATGTCGGATCATATTCGAATCCGGATTCATATTTTCGGATCTTTCCAAATCCGATAAGAATCCAAAAACTTGCAAGTCAAACCTTGTTTAAGTAAATGCTACTCATACATCGGTATCTTAAAAGTATGCAGATCATGCAAACACTTGAAAGAATCTTGCAAGATCAACAAGGTGATATGAAAAACACGTAGCTTCCATACCTCATAAGCATCATCGTCGAGTTCATGTCGTCTCATTATAACTCTTACGATATATTTCTTTCTCGCATCAATGCTTCTATTTTATCAACATCCTCGGGAGAATCAACACCATGAGCATCGTGGTTAACCTTGATTACTGCCTGTATCAGAACAAGCCAAATTGAAGTCAGAACAAAGAAACACCAGTGGTGGCATTCAATTAGAAAGGCCAATTAATACCAGGATGTAGGCATATGCTCATGATGCGCATCACCAATCGATCTCAAGAAATTAATACGATACTTGTATACAGAATCATGGAGATTAACTGATCAAGAACCAGCAAGACAGCTAAACTCTTGAATCGATAGCCAAAATTTTCTTGTATTCATTGCTGAACTATTATAATATCAAATGACAACATTGGCTGGAAACTTATAGTTTATCTAATCTCGAAGATGCTAATGTTAATTTAGAAGCGCTTCGAGATGTTATTTTTGACCATCTATATCAGATTTCAGATTAGTGCATTGGTCATCTACTCTGCCACATGATTGGTTTGTTCTAAACATTATATATTTCTCAGAAATGATTGTTGAAATAATATTGTATACTCATGTTTTCATTCTCAAATCTTCCACACCGAGGCAACGGGCATCATATGCAATAGGGAAAAAGGCTCTAATCAGTTAAGCTGGTAAATGAATCAAAGGGTTGCACTGGTGTCAAAATAATTTAAAGAAAACACAGACAATTATTCAGGCCAGCTTCTTTTAGTGATGACATGAGCATACAACAAGGATCATGATGTGTGCATGAGCGAGCATCTTGTGCCAGCATAAGTAGGTGGTTTCTACTTTCTAGTGACATCACATGAAAAATGTTGCTACAAGTCATAAGAATTAGCTACTGCACAGAGTAAATCTAGTGATATATACCAAATCTAGAAATTTATTTACTAATTATAAAAGCTGGAACGTAGTCAGTTCGTATGCCAAAGATGATATGAGAAGTTTAGATGCTCACTTTTTAAACAAATAAAAAATGAACTTTGCCCTATATAATCCTGAGATGATATGGAATGACATATGTGCAAGTACCTTCGTTCTGTAACCATTTTCGAGAACTTTAAGTTGTTCAATGTCTTCTTCTAGTTGCAGGGGAGTAGGTGGGAGGCTCGGGTAGATTCTTAAGAAATTTGAATCAAAGCTCTGGCTTACACAGAAATACCATACATTAGGAGTCTCAGTAGAACAAGGAACATAAATGTTTGTTAAAAAAAAAACACACTGCAACATTTCTAATTGTAGATAATAAAGGGCACATAAACATTTTCAGATGAGTGGCATACGGACCTGAATACCCAAGTGAAGTAGATAGGGGTACTGTGGGTTAACCATCCCGGACCTGAATCATGCAAACATATGATCATTGCAATGTATGGATCAGAAGTTCCAGGATATCTTGTCATGAAGAATTCAAAATTGTGACATGAGCAAACCTAACTTGTTAAATGGGATCAATCCCCTAGAGAAGTAGATTGCATAACCATGACTGTCAATCACACACTTTACCCTATTTGGGTCAAGTCCATCCTCAGGTTTTAAGGATGTAACAGCAGTACTGAATACCGCATCAGGAGATCCCTACAGAACACAGTGTGCTTTAGTGAAACTAAGTATAACAGAGAGTTACATAAAAGAAGCAATCTGAGGTTCAAAATGGCAATAAATTTAGCTGAGTTTATGGGAACTTGGATGGATGTCTGAAGGAGGCAAATGAAATTATGAAAGCAACAATACCAGGCTATGAAACTGGAGATGAAAGCTCTAGTCCATACTATGTCAATAGCAAGAAAAGCAGACAGTATATGTCAACCAAGAATGTTCACATCTGTGAGAAAATAAAGTCTTGCAGATCTCAGAACAAACCTTTGCACTAGTCTACATTTGTAAATCCTTGCATGTTTTTGTAATGTAATTACAACTATGTAGATTCAACAAATTGTGACAGCAATATTCATAGAACATTAGTATTTAAAGTAATATTGACTGATACGCGCTTTTATAAAATTGAGTTCCATTAAATTCTAGAAATTATATCATGCATAGCCTGCAAATGATTCTTCCTATAGCAGCAATTCAATTACTGTAACAACAGCAGATCATAATCATTCAACGCTAGGTCATAGATGGAGGAACTAACAACACCTTGCATTATGCTCAAAGATGTAAACCTGAGAAAAAGAAAATTAATGGCCAGAAGTCAGGCAAAGAGTTGCCCAATGCATATTTGGAACAGCTTATCATATTGGATTAGCTCGGAGAGTGTGTAATACAAGTATAAGATCTTTGGAAAGATTATTGGTGATTTCTGTAATCAGACTTGTGAAGAATAAATCAACCTAACTATAGTGCAGGTTCCTTGAAATGTAGCTGACGTGCCAGTAGTGTCATGTCTTTCTATTGCGTCATATTGATCTGTTCTCAATACAATCTCAGAAAGTATAAGCAAGAGCATAAAAATATGTGCTAAAATGTAATTTCTGCATAGACATCCTCAATTCATCCATGTCAGATACACTAGATTGCTGTTTAGGATTTTTCTAGAATTTTACCAGATAAAGAACTTGATGGAAGTATATTTTTGGTTATCTTTTATAATTATCACAAAGTTCTGTCATTGCAGAAAAGGATACAGTAAGTACCACTCAGTTGAAACATCTGCCTGGTGAAGGAAGTGTGACAAGCCTAAGTTGAATGGAATATATACTTGCCTTCAAATAATTTGTATTTGATGATGCATGGAATCTAGAATTAAGTTGAAGAATAGGAAGACATACAAAGACATGATGGAAAAGCAACCAAATACCTGCAAAGATTTAACAACACCATCTATTATCTATGGTTCTATAAGAGGCTCATCTCCCTGGATATTGACAACAATGTCATAGGTTTCCCCAAGCTTTTGAAGGGTTTCATAACAACGTTCTGTTCCTGAAATTAGTTGGACAATGCAACACTTCACAATCTAACTGTAAATTTGAGTTGCGGATCTATTCACCTCTCAAAAATCAATGAACAACAGTAATTATGTTATAATAAAATAAAGAGAATGAAACACAGAAAAAAAAACCATTTTTGCACTCTTCTGAGGTCATTATCACATCAGCTCCAAATCCTCTACAACATTCTGCAATCTTCTCATTGTTTTCCGCCACAACTGCAAGAACAATGATGTCATATACCAAGGCATAAACAGATTGTTTGGAGGAAACAATTGCGAAAGGTGTTTTGGTAATAATACAATAAGTATGTAAAAATCCTAGATGTATGGTCCAATAAACAAAATTTTAAAATGATTAGCAATAAACAAAGCTCTGATGGCATAAGTAAATCTCCTTTCTTCTCAACAATTCATGCCAATTACCTTTCTATTTGGTCCATTCTAGATATTTTATAAAATTTGGAACAACTATAGTTTATCATGCGTGAAATTTTCTACCTAAGCTGATGTTTAATCAAGAATGAGGAAGAAGTGGCCGCTAGCATGTTAACACAAGCAAGAGAAATCACGCTGCCTTCTACGAAACTAGCCTAAACATTCGTTATATTTGAATCAAGTAAATAAATTTGAAGGCAAATTACCAATGCGATCCAAAGCGGACGCCAACTTTGCTCTCTCCCATGTTCTCTGACAACAAAGAATAACCAACATATTTGCACACATAGATTCTGATTTTAAACTGCAATTAGAACCCAAGAAACAAGAGAGTTTTTACGATGAAAGCCCGAGATCAAGGGTGTTTCTACTGATGAACCTGGATCATTGGCTTGCCAAGGATCCGGACGAGGGGCTTTCCAGGGAAGCGGGACGAGGCGAAACGGGCGGGAATGATCCCTACCACCCGGCTCCGGTACTTGCCCAGCCAGGGGAGGAGGCGGTAGCGGGCGGCGGCGTGGGCGACCGCCGCCACAGCGGCAGTAACCCCGAGCACCGCCGCGGGAACGATCCAAGTCTTGTCGCTCGAGGAGGAGGGAGCGTGGGTCGCCATCGAGCGCAAAATGGCGTGGGAATTTGATCGAACAATTGCTGCTCACGCCGTATGATTTTTCTGAGCTTATTTTTCTCTCTCTGTAATTTTGGAATGTTGTCACCTTGAAGGTAATTAATTAACTAATTATTTAAAATATTAAGATATTCATATGATTTAAGTCATGGTTTGATTGGTATGAGCATGAGAGCTCAAGAAAAATTATTCCTTGGAGTGAAGCTTAAAAGGTGATATTGAAAATGGAGGATGATTTTAATGCTTCTTGATTTTCCAACTCCAACTAAACATACTTATCACTAAAAATAAAAAATATATATATATTTAAATTATATCAAAATAAAAAATATACATACAAAAATTATAATTTAAGAATTTTAAAAATGATTTATACTTTTAATTAAACTAATTAAGCTAATTATGATATATATATATATATATATATATATATATATATATATATATATATATATATATATATATATATATATATATATATATATATCATAATTTGTAAGAGCAAAAATGGTATTTTAAGATAAAGGGTATATTTGTAAAACAACCATCTAAAAATTTATATTTCCATCCTTATCGTCACCGACCACCCAAATCAAAAACCAAAAGAACACGGATAAACTCAACACGAGTTAATGTCAAGTGTCTCTTTGTCGCCATTTAGCTTAAACGAAACCCGCGTTATTAATACATTTCAGGTCGTTGCCGCCCTTGCGAGGTTGGTCTACTTCACGAGTTAATGCCCCCCCACAAGAAACGTGTAGCGAGTACATCTTACCACACGATGCTGTACGCTCGTGCGTCGAGGCTTACTTTTCCGCCTCGACGCCGTCGCGCTCTATAACCTACCCGTCGTCGACGAAAAGCCACCGCTCTTGTCGTCGGCTTCCCCTTTCCTTCGAGACGAAGAAAAGAGAAGGTCGTAGCCCTAGCGCTTCCTTGATCTCTTCTTCCATGGCGTCTGGTGGATCCGCTGGCCGGGCTGGCGCCTCGAGCTCCCGATCGTTTGATTTCGGCTCCGATGATGTCCTCTGCTCCTACGACGATTACGCGGCCCAGGACACCTCGATCGGGAAGCGATCGGATCCTCCCGGGAGGGTATTCTCCCTTCATGATCTTAGTTTCTTTGTTCCTCTGTTTGTAGCACGTCTTGGTGCCTCGTTGTTTGTGCTATAGTGATTCGGATTGGTCCACCAATTTGGTTTGCTGTTTAGAGTAGAGATCGACGCTCATTTTCTCTCGTAACATGGGGCGTCACTTTGAACGCCATCGATTGGTCTAATGTAATCGATGGTTCAGGGTACGGTAGAATTAGGGTTTTCCTGCTTATGCTAATACTAGTATGATTCTTTTCTAGGGCATCAATTCATCGACGTATTAAATATTTTTCGTCGGAATCTTGGGATGATTTCATCGTATTTTTTGGGTAAACTCGTCATGTTAGTCAATGATAATTATCTGAACTTCTATGTGCAGAATGTGAAAGTCGACACCATCGGTTGGTGTTAGTAGTAATTTATTATTGTATGTATCATTTTCCCCATGTTGACATGCAAATGGATTGGGCCTTCTGCAAGACTTGTTCTCTTTTTTAAAAGTTTAGCCATTAGATTGCACTCTTTTTTATTTGTTTATCTCTTATACATATCACTACTATCTAAGTTAATTATCCTTACTATGTTGAATTCACTAGAAATTTAATGATAAGTCCATTACTCGTTCATTTGGCTCAGTCGGCTGGTCATTTTATCTGATATTGCTTACGTCCCTTGATAATCATGGAGCAGGATTTGCATGAGAGCAGGATAGGAAGACCATTGGTCAATATTTATGAGCAAGAAGATTATTCCAGGGAGGACATAATATCTGCTGTCGAGAAGTGTATGAAGAAATATGCTGATAACCTACTTCGATCTCTTGACGGTATTAGTGGCCGGTTGTCGCAGCTGGAGATATTTTGCTACAAACTTGAAAGGTCACTGGGTGAACTTCGAGCTGATTTCCTTCAGGATCAGAGTGAAAAAGATCTGAAGTTCAAGTCTCTCGAAAAGCATCTTCAGGAAGTAAGTTTTGATGCTCATATCACATTTGATTATCGTGAGTTTGTAACTGTTATATAATTCCTTTTGTAGAGCTAGTTAAAGGAAGACCCTTTTTTCTTTTAACTGATTTTTTTTAGCTAGTTTATATATGACAATAGTGATTATTTAAAATTTTATAATATGTGCATGCTACCTACTAAGTACAAATCTCATATCTCAAGCTTGCTATCTGTCTATGTTTGCTAGAAACGATGATTATTTTATGTGCTAGATGATCAAACATTTCCTAGCATCTTCTGAGTGGAATAGTGTTAGCATGTTTTGTAGCTTTCGACTAATACTTGTGTCCAAAGTGCACATTTAATATGAGGTTGCAGAAGGAGCTGCCTAGCTTAGCTTAGCTGATAAAGATTTTGTCATGTCATGGTTCTGGGTTCTGGATTAAAACCGACATTCACCACTTATTGTATATAAGGTTGTAAACAAGGAATACTATCTTAAAAAGTAGGCATCCAGTCCACTTTTACAAGTAACTGGTTGTTGATTATAGTTTGTCTGTGATGATGACTGTGTTATATAATTTCTATTCTTCATATTCTAGCCAATCTTTGGCACAGAATGAAGAAAACAAAAACCTATATATCATGTAGGATTCTTAGATGGTGGATAAGTGCATTTCGTTGGTGTTTGAAGAACCACAAGACATTAAATAGGCTTGATCTTGTAATTTCTCTTACAAATGTTATTTCTTGATCTGTTAGAAAACTGAGAAAATAGAGGACCTATATGCATGTAAATTCTAAGTTAAAAATGATGTCATCTGTGAAATATATCAGAAGATCCTATCATCAGCTATTGTTCAATAAAAAATGGTATTATAAGCTATCTTGACAGAAACTCAGATAGGATTAAGAGGGTAGTCATAGCCATATATGTGTTGAGGTTGTTTCCACCAATAGAAAAAGGTTTACAATGACAATGATAGATTCCTTATGTAATGCTTGCCTGTGGTCAATGTGACACCAAATTTATGTTAATGGCCATGTGGGTATACTTCATTATATTGTAGGTCTGTCAGGTTTCTCATTAGTTTTATTATTTTTTTCTTCGTACTATCATTGGAAAAGGTACAAAGTCTGGCTTGCACATTTCTGTTATGTAAAATCAACATATACTTTTATTATGGATGCACTTGAAACTGATAAGAGTTCAGTTTCAACTCTTGTTCTGTATGCTATAGTGATACTCATCAGTCTTATCCTGTTAGTTCTACAATGCTTTGTTGAAGGTTCATTTTAAAATATATAGAAGTCTTAAATTGGAGGATTTTTTTTAAGTAGAGCATTTGTTATATGATAGTTATTCATTTCCTTTTTGTGATATGTCAGCAATTTTTGAGATATGTCTGTTCACTTGCCACGTCAGGTCCACAGGTCTGTTCAAATTCTGAGAGACAAACAAGAACTTGCTGAAACTCAGAAAGAACTGGCCAAGCTTCAACTGGTGCAGAAAGAATCTGTAGAAAAGAATGAAAATGCTGTTGCACGATCAGTCTTAGATACAAAAAAGCTGGATGACAAGCCAGACGTTGCAAACCAACAGCTGGCCCTTGTTCTACCTCGCCAGACTAGTGCTCCAGCAGTGCTTCCAGCTGGAACATCTCAGCCAATCCAACCATATAAAGAAGTACCTGTCCAGCACCAAGTGCCTGTCTCTCCTGACATCCAACAGGACCAAATTTTAATGAACCAAGCTGGAAAATACCATCTTCGACATCAAACTTTGCCACAGGACCAGTGCAGCCAACCCATGCAATATGAGCTACACTATGTGCAAGCAAGACCTCAGTTTCAGAACAACCCAATTCAGGCACCACCACAGCAGCCACCGATAGCGAACCAGAATCAGCCTCCGTCATTGCCTAGACAACAGCTGTTGCCTCCACAACCAGGCCATCCAATGCCACAACAGGTGGTGAAGCTTCAACAACCTGCTTCACAGGCTCAAATCATAACTCAAACGCCACCATCTTATCCTCCTTATCCATCTCAACCTGTGAATCCTGTTCCTGAAACATTTCCTGGCAGCATGCCCATGCAGGTTCCTAATCCGACAGTTCTGCAGTCTGGTGGAATTCGTCCTGAAGTTCTGCCATTTGGTTATGGAGGAACAGGCAGCTCAGTGTCGCAGCCACCACCCTTGCATAATATGCAGCTCCCAGTCGTGTCGCAGCCACCGCCCTTGCATAATATGCAGCAACAGATGCAGCTCCCAGCCGTGTCGCAACCACCGCCCTTGCATAATATGCAGCAACAGATGCAGCTCCCAGCCGTGTCGCAGCCACCACCCTTGCATAATATGCAGCAACAGATGCAGCCCCCAGTGAGTCAGAACTCTATTGGACCACAGTTTGGCAAGGGTGGTTACATGGGTAGTGCAACTTATCCACCGACACCATACAATCCACAAGCTTACCATCCTGCCTACAACTATCCACCAAGCAACCTTCAAGCTTCCAGGAACCAGCAAGGACCTCCTAGCAATGGTCCAGCTCCCCACTATGAGACTCGGCTGATGCGCAATCACCCCTACGGAGACATGATTGAGAAAGCTATTGGAATGGGATATGATGGGAATCAGGTCATGAGCCTTGTTCAGAGGATGGCTGAGACTGGTCAGCCTATGGATTTTAATTCCCTGCTCGATAGATTGAACGGACAAGCTGCTGGAGCAACCCCACGAGCATGGTAAGACTAACATTTGCTTTATGTTGCAGAGGTGGTTTTTCAATTGTCTCCTGCGAGTATATATGGTGTTTGTAGATATAAAATTCCATTCACGATAACTGGGCGTTTCTCATAAGACCTGTGGTCAAATGAAATTTGAGAGTAGGACCATGATTTATCAGATGTTGTGGTTGGACAAAGACTATGGAAAACCCTAATATTTTCTTGGAGCACATATAATTTATATTGCTTTTTGCTGATCAGCGTGGATTAATATGCTTTGCAACTGTGTAGGATTAATTTCTCTCCATTTTTGGCTCACGCAATGTTCAGGGAACATCGTGGTAAATATTATGGATGATAGGCACTTGAACTTGAATGTTTTCCTATCACACAATTAGGGGTAATGTACACCGATGAGCATATGTTAGCTCCTGTCTTTATGTCCATGTGCACTTGGCACCCTTTAATCAGCATGGGTAATTGTGTTCTATTGACTATAGTACTGTTAATCTAACCTCTGTATTATTATTATTTTTTGGTTCCTTTGGTTGCCATAATCAATCATCTTCTTACCTGCTTCTGGTTCTGCTATTTTAGAATTAATTTCCTTTTGTTACAATAAACTAGGTGGAAAATGTAAATATGAGATTTCAAACAAAGATAAGACTACTGAAGCTACAAAACCTTTAGCTACCTGTAAAATCGAAACATGTCTGTTTATTTTTTTGATACATGTAAAATTGAATGATGTCTGTTATTTTTATTTTTATTTACAAAGAATAATTGATGATGGCCCATTTGAGGTATATAATTCATATCTCCCTTAATCTCGTGTGTTTTCCACATCTTAAATTCTTAAACCCTCAGTGCCTTCTTACGCTTGCATTGTATTGTGATTTGTAAGTCTCAATATACATTACACCCAATTTCCAAACCCGGCGGCGGCGCATCCCTACGATAAAGTAGAATAGACTTGTAGCTCCTTTTTCTACTGATTTGATTTCGACATACAAGAAAACAGAATTCTAAAACGGAACAAAGCAACCTTTTTCATGCCACATTTATTTACCAATCAACCTACCATCCCATCGACACAAGCTATTTAGATGAGGCGGTCTAAAAGAGTCTAAAAGAGTCTTATTTTAGATGACTATAGTTAACCAACAAATTTCCTTCTACCACAAGCTATTTTAGATGAGGCAGTCTAAAAGAGTCGAGTACACACACTCACTGATGTGCATATCCTTCTAACTCTTTGAAAAGAAACAACTTTAGCAACTGCCTACACTGTAACAACAACAGATAACCGCAACAAGTACTACTGATGAAAGGTACACGAGAAGCTACGACTCATAATCTACAAGTACATGAGCTCCAACCACCGAAGACCAAGCAACACAAGTTTGAAAAGTTTAGATAATTCTCTTTATTCATAATGGGGGTAATTGAGGAGACAGGCGAAGGAAGAGGAGCAGCATGACCTCTGTTTAGCAATTCTCCGTGCTGAAAAATCACAGACCTAAAGAAAAACAAGAAGAATGTCAAACAAGCAATTATTGTACCGAGTTATGTGTACTGTTCAAATGAGGAGGAATCACAATGCCGATGCCCTAAATGAAGTCCGATTACGTGAGCAAACAAAACAATTCTTCATTTTGGATAGCTTCAGAGAGGCATGTATAATTCGAACAAATGGCATGAGTGCAAACTGAGATTCACTTGGCAATCCCATTATATGATGGATGAGAGAGGAGCACTGATAATGCTTCAAAATAATTTCCAACATTCTTAATTTATTGATTGAGACAGTCATTCATAGCAGAGCATGTCAAAGTTAACATTCTTAATTTATTGATTGAGACAGACATTTCCCCTTCTTATTTGCAGCTGGTCCCTCAGTTTCATAAAGCTTGAACATATCGAGGGTGAATCAGCAAAACAAACAATGGAGGGTAAAAGCAAGAGCCGAGAACCTTAAATTGGTCCATCTAGCAGGAAAAAATAAATCACAAAACCAAGTGAGTCGGTTCCTTCTATAGCATAGCAAGGTATCATTCTCAAATAAGCATTTGGCTTTTCTGAATCCAAAGTATTGCTGAATCCACTTGATAGACCATCATACATCATCATTGCCAGCTGATATAAATGCAAAAATATCAGTATATTTGTTCATTTGGCAATGCATTGAACAAAAATATTCAGGACAGAGAAATGCTATCTAAATATGGACAAACATGCTTTTGGTCTAGGCACCTAGTAGCTCGGTCTTTCACACAAAAAAATGTTTTTGTAAAATACACAATTCAACATCCCAATCAAAATTATGCAAATATGAGTAAATTGTATTCATATGGGAAGTTTTTATGGTTCTGCAATTGAATCAAGGAAAGACACTTCAGCAGCACTACAGACACCTGAACTAGTACTACCACCAATTCTATTCTTTACAAAGAATAATCGAGGGTGCTGACAATAAAGATTTGGATGTCTCCACTAAGAGCTTAAATAGATAAGTTGTCTAGCACATCAAAAAAAGTAAAACAAACATGTATCATATCACCTAATTTATTGCGGCCACAGACATCATTCTCAACAAATATTGGTGACCACAGTTGATGCCAGTACTGTCATGCCCTTATATGACTTCTCCCAGTCGTGTCTAACATATCTTTTCTAGAGATATCTAACTGCCTTAGAAAAATGTTTCTCCATCTTATCATCTTTCTTATTTTCTTTTATGATGTATTTGTTTGTGACACCAGCCATCTATCTCAGTGTTCTCGTCTCTGCTACACTAACATTTAAATAGACTTGCTTAGATAAGCCATGCAACCACACTAAATCAGGATTCAGACAGCTGTAACTTGAGAACAAGGAATCACAACTCTTCATGAGTGCATGCACACATCCAGAGTGTAGACCAAATTGCTATCAATTAAAAAAATACAAAATAAAATCTCCAAAAGCCAGCATTTTAAGTGTATTTGGTGATTATCAAGGTTTTTAATTTCGAATGATACCGCCCGCTACCACACGAAATCGGTGGATGACGGTCGATTTCGACCGTTGCCGCCCGCTATTGGGGTGGTATTAGCTGAGGGAGAAGAAAAAGAAGAACCTGGAGATTTGGCGCCGCTCTCCGTCGGCGATCCCGATCTGTCATCACCATCCCTCGTTGGACATCGCAAATGAGATATCGCCTCCTCCTCGTCTGAGGCGACGAGGGCTCGGCATCGTCGGCTACTTCTCCTCATCCGCGCATGAAGAAGAAACAAGGCAACATTGCCTCGACGACATCGTCCTTTTTTTTTTAATTTTTTAACCTTATATACACACAACACACACACACACCGAGCGGTATGTTAGAGCGTACCGCTCAGTATACTCGTACCATACCGTACCATACCAAGTTGATCTCGATACTCCGATACGATACGAAATTACGAACCTTGGTGACTATAACAAATTATGTTAGAGCTTCAACTATATCTTATACATATTTTCTAGTGAGATGTTGTAGTTATCATATCATACTAGTCTTGGAGGGAGTTGTGGCATGGGGTTGGTAGTTGGAGTTAATTCCTTGGTTTAAAGTTATAGTTAATCAACTTATCACTTCTATGAGAAAACACAAATCACTAAGTTTATGGGAGCAATTTAAATAAACATTTAAACCATCTTAACAAGCATATCCATCAAATTTATTGTCATATCAGTCATTTGATTGTTGTTGTAGAATTCAAGCCTAGTCAAGTAATCGTTCTCATATGTCCTCAAAATTAAATCAAAATTTTATCAAAAGAACAAGATACATGTGAACAACTAAACGGAAAAGTTTAACACTTACAAGTTGCTAAAGCTAGAGAAAAGCCTGTGTGTTAAATATTATGTTAATTCATGAGAATTTAACTGGGATTAATTCTATTCTTGACAGCCAGGGACAATTGCTAGAAACTAAGTTTTAGGCTATATATGATTGAAACCAAATATATGAAGTGTAACTTTAGCAATTGCAAGATAAGAATTAGTAAAGAGAATAAAATGTTCCTAAAGGTAATAGATTTAGATATCTTGGATAAGTTCTACAACATGATAGGGAGATAAACAAATAAATTTAAGCATAAAATCAAAGTGTCAAGGATCATAAAGGTTCTATGTGATCATAGAGGGTAGAGTAAGATTTGGACAATTTTAGGAGAAATAATATAAAAATATTTGGATGGTCATAGTTTGATTAAAGATGTCCTAAATAGACTCAATAATAGGAAAATATTCATGTAATATAATTGTCGTTGTTCTCATGGAATTTACTTGTGCCAATCTGTAATTTTAGGAGAACATATAACCAGTTAGCTAGATTCCACCTAGCAATTGTCACATGTTGTTACTACCATCTGGTTAAGCATCCAGATAAAATTGCCTAAATTATAACAATGAAAAGCAAAATTGAATTAACCATGCTACAATAAGACATGAGGCTAAATGGGTGATGTATAAAACAGAGTTGTTGGTACTGACCAACATTGGTTCCATAACAATATTTGTTCACAGACAGAGTAAACATTTTAAAGGTCTATAGAGAACTCACATCACATGTGATGTCTGAGAGCTATGGCATCACTTCCTTTTTAAAAATGATGAATCTCTTGTTCAATTTATGAACAGCCCATATAATTATTACATTTCATGCTAATTACCTTTTGGTGCTTGACTTTCATCTAGTTTCATCACATCCTACAAAAGAAAAAAGAGAAGAAAAAAAGTTTTCTTACATGAAAGTAGGAAAACGGCAGCATATGGAAAAATCATCACAATACAAGTAACAACTTATAAGAAAACCATGAATCCTTTATGTTGACACCCTAGGCTATCTTATTGTTGTGATAACTAGAGATGTTCAAGTCCATGCTATTTGACATAAAACAAACTATAAGTGGACTTCAAAAGGAAATATTACATGCAATGCAATTTTCTAAACTTGAAACGTAACTAATGCAAATAAGCATAATATTCCTACACAAGTATAAAAGGTTAAAAATAAAAAATAAAAAGGACAATTTAATCCATGGAAGCAGAGTAGATTCACCAATTAATTAGGTGATTAACAAGTCTCAATCATATATTCCACTTTAGAAGCACCATGTAATATGAAAGAAAAGAGTACAGCGGTTCAACAACCACAGAGAACAAGACAAATCCAATAAGATCCATATTAAGTCTTTTATTACATTAAGGTTAATTCAAAATGTCTCCTTTTTGTACCCTGTAATATGCTGTCAAAATTGGCTGATGAACCAAGAACTCAATCAAGATCCACACGGTCTTTTGAATGGGGAAAATTGAAACTTTATAACAAGATCCAATTGGACGAACACTATCCCGCCATTTAACCGATTCACCCAAACAATAGAATCATCTGAAGGGGTCAACACAATCCAGTCAACCAAATAATTAAAGAAGATAGAAGTGGCCGATAATACCTTCGGAGAGCCATCCATATCCCCTACGCGAAACATTGAGCATCGAGGTCAACAACGCCGTGGCCGTTGCGCTGTGCATCGGCATTAGCGACTCCACACAGAAGCTCGCCTCCACGGGAGACCTTAAAGATGTTCCCAAATAAGAAGAGGAAATCGTCAGAAGAAGCAGAACACAAAAGCAGCAAGATGAGATATTGACTCCAACCCCTAGTGAATGCAACTAGTCTGTATCTACCTAATCTGCCTACTACCTGAGGAAACGACTGGCGGCTGCCGGCCTCAGTTTGGGGAGACAGCGAAGTTGAGGGCGCGAGGCCGCTACGGCCTCGGCCGCGACCCGCGCCGCGCCGCCGCGGATCGAAGCCGAGCGAAGGACCGACCTAGCGGCGGCAGCCATGGCGAGCGGAGGGAATGGTGAAGGCCGAGAAAAGGCCGGCAGCGAAGGTTTTGTGAACGAAGCTGAAACCCTAAAAGCACAAGGCGATGTTGCTAGAAGCAGCAGACCACGTTGTGTTGGGTCGGAGGATTAAAAGCCCATCAGATATACGTCCAACATTAAATTGATTGCTCGTCACATTTGGGATCGATAGAATCCGGTCGTTAAGCATCTTTACATCGCACCAACGGTCACGATTGTGTTCAAAGTAGATGATGATCTTGATTGACGTTCGTCGTTTACTGATGACCGAATGCGACAACATGAAAGGACATGATTGAGTCCAAAATTCCATGCATGGTCATCACCTCTCTTTAGATCACATTGGACCATGAATTCGTTAAGATTTACCTTGTGGAAAACCTAGATCGATTTTTAATATATCATTGATAGTCATTACATCCATGGATCATCACGGACAGTGAACATGGTGTTAATAGCTCAGTGTGTGAGAGGAGCCCAGTGTTGCTGTGAGCTTGTTATCTATCTGCATGCTAACGCCATGAAACGTGATCCATCTTTCCATTCATTTGCATGATTCCCATGGGTGTAGAAGCCCTTCGTAGCTCACTGAGCCGTGTACGTGGTTCCTTTCTTCTTCCCATGCCAGGTTGCTCTAAAGCGTCTTGTTCCATGATGCTGACTTCAATTTCTTCTGGTGTGTCCAGTTAGCTTACGCCACCTAGGTGAGGTGTTCTATACTACAAGCTGGAAGAGTGCAAAGCAAACGCATGAAGCCTGCAGCCGAAGCTAAAATGCAACTTGTTTCGGTCTCCCACCTCTTCATGCCTTTCCCCGGAAGGCAGGCTGCTACCCTTCAGAAACAATCAATGAAAACAACGGGGATGCAGAAGGATACATCTCCTGGCATCTTGAACCGGAATGTGAGGGGAAGAAAGGGAGGGAGAGCAAGAGAGATATGCTGCTGGATAGAGGATCCATAGATCTTGATAGGGGTAAAAACAGATTTGACGTAACACACCAGATTTGACGTAATACATTACGACGTCGGCCCCCCCTGGACGGCACACTGCTCCAGGGGGCGAGCATTAACACCAACATAATGTGCACCCTCACTCACCGTACCCAGACGATCTCGTCGTCTGACCCCGCACGACCGGCCGAGGCAGGGGAAGGCGTCGACTGAGGCTCGCCATACCCTGCGGCAGCTCGGCCTTCCACGCAACGCCCACGACGACGACTGGCGCCATCAGAGGTACAGCCCTGCCCCGACAGGGTGGCACATCATGTAACATCAAACTCACCTATAAATACTCCCAGGCTCCAAACGAGCAGGGCAACCACACAGAAGCACGACTTCACCCAAAAGCTCCTCTCTCAATCACTGACTTGATCGTCGGAGGGGTCGGGCCGAACCGCCGACCCGACCTTTGTGCAGGTACTCGACCGAAGCCGACCCAATTCGGCGTCGCGAAGCATTCCAGCCAGATCCCCCGTAATCGGCCGCCACAAGATCCCGAGAGGAGTCACGCCTGATCCCAGCCATTCGGACCCCTGAACCAGCCGTGTCGACCCCAAGGTCACGGCTAATAAAGTTACTTACCATAACAGATCTGGTTTTGGTCCCAGCTGGGTTGGCCATTTTGTTTGGGTACCATCTCCTTCTCCTCTACAGACTCTTCAGGTTTCCCCACACCACTGTGATTGGTTATGAGAACCACAACAAGCGAGCATGGGTCGAGCGGATGATGCAGGTTAGTACGTTAAATCCCTCCAGCTCTCTATTCTTCATCGATATCCGGTAATGTCCATCCACAACAATCTGTGTCAATCTTCAATACAACTCGAAGCACTTCACCTTACAGATATAGGTATACTTAATCCTCTTGGATGACCAAAAATATTTCTGCAGACAACTCCGGAGGAGACTGCAATAGCTCTGCAGGTGATATCAAGCAGTATATCAGCATCAACCAACCTGGCCTCGCTCTCTATCGCTCTGAGCTCTCTCATCGGAACCTGGATAGGAAGCAGCTCCAAGGTATTGATGTCGGAAGTCATCTACGGGGACACAAGCCAGCCCACGTCTTCCGTGAAGTATGTTTCCCTGCTCACCTGCTTCTTGGCCGCCTTCACTTGCTTCATCCACTCGGCACGGTACCTCGTCCATGCCAGCTTCATGCTGAGCACACTGGACTCGGACATACCCATAAGCTACGTCCAGAATGCAGTGATCAGAGGCAGCAATTTCTGGTCGATGGGTCTCAGAGCAATGTACTTTGCCACCGCCTTGCTGCTGTGGATCTTTGGACCGATACCGATGTTTGTATGTTCAGTATTCATGGTGATGATACTGCACCTCCTCGATACTAATTCCACTCCACTGCATCACTTCAGATATCATCCGAACAAGGGGCTGGAGAAAAGAATTAATGCAAGACATGCAAGTAGCATTCTTGAGAACCCGATGTATCCTCCACTTCCATAAGTTAGTCTATCCATGAACCAGGCAAGGAGACGACAGCAAGTGATTGCTTGAACTAAAACTTTTACTGATAAATGGCGCCTCATATTCTACAATAAAGAACGAAAACATGTATCTCTATATTTTTGGGGATTCAGACGAGCTATGAAGCTTTTATTTTTTGATGGGATCTGCTGCCTCCGCCTGCCATAGTTTGGCTGTTTCTAATCTGAGCACAAATGACCTCCTGCAGCAAGTGAACAGGATAAGTAAAACATTAATATGTAAATATTCATCTTGTAAACTAGTTCTTGTGGCATCAACCATCGATTTTTATGAAACATTTTCTAAGATACAATTTTGGGAGTATTTGTATTGAGATGCTGCCTTTACCAGGTGTAGAAGACAAACAGATGCGTCTCTTATCCATCGTTCCAGAGTATTTGTATTGAGTTGGTGCGTTTCCCAGGTGTAGAAGACAAACATGAGTATCTCTTATCCATCGTTCGAGAGTATTTGTATTGCGATGGTGCGTTTCCCAGGTGTAGGAGACAAACGAGACAAACGAGAGTATTTGTACTGAGCTGGCAGTCCAAAAGAGACTAAGCTGACCCACAAGTCAAACTCGAACCTGGTTATTGTGTTTTACCCACGTTGATGGCCGTCTGACTTTTCGAGCGGTTGGCTCGCACCTCTTGTGCGAGTATCGATCAATCTGTATGGATCCGTGCTGTGCGGTATCGTTTCGAGTTTTCGTATTATGCGTTATCGTCTTATACAATCTCGGACAACACGAGAGCGAGTGGCGCCATTCCGTCCGAGTCCGATGTATCGCAACAGCGCACCATGTTAGCTCTGAGACCCATGTTAGCGTTGATGTGGCTGCTGACTGTTATCACAATGATGGTACCAAAATATGTGACTCATTTAATTATTAGAACAGTCATAATTAATGCCTCTAAAACTATATGTATTGAACTTAGGACACAAGAATGTATTATACTTTTATGGTACTCGGCAGAGGTACAGAAGGAATTTAAGTACAAAATAAATTAATAAAAGATAATTTTAGCAAAAGGGTAAGTCCAAACTCTCAGTCATGAATGTTACTATCATGGCTGCTCTTGTACCATCATTTTCATCATTAGGATGCATAGTATTCTGATATCATATTTGTCACAATCTGAACATATGGATTATACTTAAAAAAAATACACGAGAAAAAAAGTAAATTATAAATTATATAGTGATCAAAATCCATTTCACAATCGATATTAATTACATCAGGATATATTATAATTGGATGATGATATGCTTGGGTCATGGCATACGTACATATGTTGTTGGGTGCTTACCTTCCCAAGCTTGTGCATATTTCGTCGAACACTATTCGGGCGAGACATGGTTGTGGACCGGGTTGATATTTCGTCGAACACTAATGGGGCGAGACATTATTCGGGACCGGGTTGATAGGATTGTGTTTGACGGCTCCAGTCGAACATGTTGTGTGCACTAATAGATGAAACAATTACTGATACGGCGAGTTGGGATCTGCTGCTTTCTGTCGGGTTGGAGGGGAGGAGATGGAGACGAGAGCGAAGAGAGCCAAAGCCACCGAAACGGCGACGAAGCCGAGAAAAGATGCCTCCAAGAAACCGAAGGCGAAAGCCAAGAGGAAGCCCTCCTCTTCTGCTAAGAACGACCACCGCGACAAGCCCAAGAAGCCGCCCACTGCTTTCTTCTACTATCTGTACGCCTCTCTGAACCCTAATCCCGTGCGTCTCCGCTCCTGCCCCTCCCATCTCGGGCTGTGGCTTTTGTGGGAAGTTGATGATTCGCTATTGGGGCATGCTGTTTCCTTGGATACATCTGTTATATAAAGTTTGGTCACTTAAAACTTTCATGGTTTCCTCAAACTGCGTTTGCTGTATGGGAGAAATGATCACAATGATCAGTTTATATTTCTTGATTGTGTTCAGTCTGGGTGATCGAAAGGCCCATTGTAGGGATTTAGTCACTGTTTTGGTCTCTTTCGGTCGAGCAGGTATGATGCGTCCCAGGTTTTAGTAAGGGTTCTATTTTCTATTATGTTTGGTCATATTCACAGACTGTGTGGGTGAAGCTGTTTGTGATTTTGACATGTTCCTATGAGCTGCACTAGTTAGCTGCGTTACAAATTCATGACTGTCTTTTTTGACAAAAATTACCATGACCTACATGGGCACCATGGTGGTCATCATTTCAAATTTATAATCGTTTAGCTATAGATTTAGTTTTGTATATGCAGGGGAGAACACAACCCTAAGAGAGCAATAGAGAGTTTAGCAGTCGATCTTAAAGATAGCAACATAAACTCTCTTTTTTGGGTTAATTGGATTTGATTTAGCATAGGGTTTATTTAGGTTTAGGTTTGGTTTTTTTTTTGTTTTTGTGATGGTTTCTGTAATATTTGTCCTATTGTTTTGGAGCATAACCTCTATTATTTGGGATCCTTTTGAGGTGCTACCACACGATAAGAAAAATTGCCGCCATTTTAAGATTGTTTGGATATAATTTTGGTTAACTAGAATTGGAGAGGGTTTTGTCCTGGTGGGTATAGGCCATCTAGTGAGGCAATAGGGGGAGTGTTAATATATGGACTTTGCCTTGTATCCTTCTTTTTGTATCTTTATTTGCCATGGTAGGACAGGTTGGTACCTTGGTGGTGCATTAGAACTTGTAGGAGCCATTGACATCACCAATGTTAAGGATTTAATAGTTATAATCAATATAAATGCTATTATCCATCAAAGTTGATGTCTCTTACATGGTAAGTTTAGTGCATCAGATCCTATTATTTGAGACTTCCAAACCAAAACAAAATCTCCTTTATCTTCGTGAACAATCAAAACACAGTCAACATAATTTACACCCTAGTGATACATAACTGTCCAAGCCGTCCGTTACATATACTAAAGCTGCTGGTGTTTGGCTCTAAGAAGACACCACACTTAGTGAGAACTTACAGAAATATGAAGAATCACCACGTATATAATGATAATCAAAATGATTTCTTTTTTTCTTTTGTAATCCTAGCCATTGTACTCTTAATTGTCTGTGTTTCATCTTTATTAATAGCATTTATCAACTTTGAACTGTTTCATCTATTATCAACTTTGAACTCGTAGGCGTCATTGACATCACCAATGTTAAGCATTTAAACTTACCTTGTTATAAGGATTTTACATATAGGTATGCGTTGATAATAGCATTTATCCAATGGTAAGGATTTAACAGAGATCCGACTTTGATGGATAATAGTACAATATCATGCAAAGAAACAATCTTCTAAAGCTATGGTTTCAAAGATATTAGGATAGGCAATAAAATCCCTGAATGTTGCTCCTTTCATGTGTACTATCTGTTTGTTGCCCAGGTTATGCTAAATTACCTAAAGGTAGAACATGCCTGTCAAACAGTTATATTAAGATTAAGAAAAGTTTTAATAAGTTCAGACATTGTCAGCAATTCATCTTTGAAAAATTGTCTTGGGTCTTGATATGCTTGTTTGTGTGATGCTGTTTTACTCTTTTCTTCTCTTTTCCCCCTCTTGCAATCTCATTACCATTCTTATCATATTGTTATTTAACTAAAAATTTAATTTGTTTGTAGTTGTGTGTTTATGAAATAAAAGAGTTTAAATTGGATGCATATGTTAAAGAACTTTTTTGTTTTTGTTTTGAAGGGAAGATTTTCGCAAGACCTTCCAACAAGAAAACCCAAATGTCAAATCAATGCGAGATGTATGCATTTGTTACTTGTAGTTCATGTTTCGACTTGATTTCTATTGTTTATACTACATGCCTTTTCTATATTTCTTTCAGATTGGTAAGGCATGTGGGGAGAAGTGGAAAACAATGTCATTTGAGGTTAGTTCTTGACATGTTTTTCTCAGGCATCCAGGTTTAGACAAATAATTTACTTGTGCTACAATTGAAAATAAAATATACATGTAACTTATCCATTGGTAAAATGTGGATACTCAGAACTTGGGAAGGAGAGATTCCATCTGAGAGAAGAGGTAGATAATTAAAGGACAAAGGAGAAATTGTATCTGATGCATGATCTAATGTTCTTGATATGTATTTAAAATAGCATATTATGTATGCAATCAAGCATTATGCTGTTCACCAAGTGGCTTTGCTGCGGGAGGACCAATTTCTTATCTTAACTGGTTGAATAAAGGTGCTTATGGGAGTACGGTGAAATATGATGTTAGTAGAAACTTTCAATTTTGTCATGGCATTCATTAGTTAGGAGGTTAACTGGAAAATAACTTCTCTCTCTCTCTCTCTCTCTCTCACACGCACACATGTTCTTAAGCACACAAAGTTGACATGCTTTTCATGTGGACATTCTCTCATTTCTATATGCTAAAAGTTTAGCATAATCTGTGTGGGCTAGTGAATAATGGTAGCTTTAAAATATTTGGCCTGCAATTAACCAAAATATACATATTAAGTACTTGTTGGTAGTACAATCAGGAATTATGATGCAAAAACACCTTATGTACTACTTGTGTGTGATGAAATATTTGGTTCAACCATTCAAGTGAAGCTTTTGCATCACAAATTCTATGGATTAGGAATAGTTTAGTAAAAATTATGTAAGAAGCAATGATGTTGGAACTTGGTAGTCCACATGATAGAAGTTAACTATATCTTCACACCTCATTATGATAACGGATGTAAAGTATGTTGGAGCAGATTTTTGGAATGAAATTGGAGAAATGCATGCGACCAAAATGTAAAAGTTAACTTAGCTTCAGTTTTCTTTGCACATGGCAACCCATGATTTGTTGACCCCTTGCAAATGAAAGCCTTTGTTAACCACTGCAATTCTCAGAGCTAATAAATCTAGTGCAAGCTCTTTATCATTATACTGTTTGTTTGATCTTTTGTCTGTGGTGTTGGCTTAATACTATAAAGTGTTGTGATGCACATGTTAGCAAATTCTCAGCATCCTCAAATATGAATATAGATATAAACAGCCATTTAATAAATTAATGACATTGCTTGCAGTATCTTTTACATGAGTAAACATTTGTCTACATCCTTATCAACATCTTGGATGGGTAGTCAATTGACCTTCTTAAGTGGCTTGTTCATGATGCTTTACATTTGTATTTTGTAATATTTGGTGCTTTTGCTTATGATGTTTTTGATAACCTAAACTTTCCTTTATATTTTTATTACAAATGGTGGAGCATGATTTGCTTATGGTAATGACTTGAAAATTTTGTATAACTTAGTTTTTTTGTGTGCCAATTTAGTTATATAATGCACTTATATCATAACAAAAGTCAATCATGTATCTTGCAGATGAGGTAGAAAGTACTTTATAGAAGGATTCAGTAGGATTTCTCTGCCTGTCAATCAGTCATCAACCCTCCTGCTAATACACTTTTTGAAGTCCTTGCAGAACTCTACTCTATTTGCAACAGGGAAAAAAAAAATTAACATGAAATATAAATCAAGATATACATAACCTTAAAATTCATCTAAATGATTTCCTTATGTTCTGTGTTTCAGGTTTGTGGAATTAAGCAGCTAAAATAATGCTACTATAGAATTCATTAACAGTAACTTTTCTTCTACCTTATTTGTTAGGAAAAGGTTGCATACTATGATATAGCCACAGAAAAAAGAGCTGAGTTTGAGAAGGCTATGGCAGCATACATTAAGAGAATGGTTGGTGATTCTCGTGTCCTTTCTGTATCGAACTTATGCTCTAATGGCCTCTTTAAATGTCCCTAATGCCCTTTCCATATTATCTTGCAGGAAAGTGGTGAGTTTTCTGAAGGATCTGATGATTACGAATGACTTGGCTGGATGGAAAGCAGATCATTGGCTGTAAATTCTATTTGTATCTGTTAATTAGGCTTTGGAAACTTAATCTGTCTCTTCCATCATATTTAATCTTCGAACTAGTGCATATCCGAACCCTGAACTATCAATTAGAAACATCTCAAATTTCTAGCAACTCCAGAAGTGAATTGGATTTGGTTTGAATGAAATCTGTGTATGGACTGCACCACCCTCCGTCACTGTAAGCTCCAAACCATCTCAGCCTAGTCGAGATTAGTACAACACACACCACCACGCCGGCTTTTCCTACTTTTACGGCCATTGGTGTTGTAACAGCACTTGATCCGATTAACTGCTTGTGAAATGGAATGTGCAGCTGCATGTGTTGGTGTTGCTTACGTTTCTTTGCTTGCTAGGTTATTGACATCTGAAATCTTCTTTCACTCCAATTCTCACAGCAAATTGCCATGAAGTAATACAAATTCATGTGGAAAAAGAAGAAGACACACCTCATCAATGCAAATCAACAATGTACAGATTCTCGACGCTACACCATCCGACCAGACCAATTGTCTGCAGTCAGAGAGACTAGAGTTGAATCGCCATTGCTCAGATGATGCTGAGGCCTAAATTTGCAGGAACGTCAACCCATTCCAGAGCGCAAGAACAACACCACGAGAATAGGAAAGAAGAAAACACAAAAAAGATCTACTTCCGAGCTACAGGCGATGGTGGTGGTGGTGGTGGTGGTGGTAGCAATAGTACGTCAAAAAGGAATACAAGAAGAGGACGGATCAGAGGTGGCAGCCGCAGCAGAGGTAGAAGAAGCAGAGAGCGCCGACGAGGACGACTGCCTCAAGGCAGGAGAGGACGCGGAAGAGGAGGTCGTCGAGGAAGGAGAAGCGGGGGAGGGCGGGGCGTTTCCACCACCGCCAGGAGGCAGCGGAAGCGAGCTTCTCCGGCCAGTGGTTCTCCTTGTTGTTGGGCACCCGAGGCCAACCTCCTGCTCCATGTCCACCCACCATACTGGCCCTTCGCAACAACGGGCAGCGGCCAATTCGATTCCTGCTCTCTCTTCTCTTCTTCGGACGCACGGTGAACAACTACCGATCGCACTGAAGGCGGAAACCAATTCAACGTTACCTTTAGCATCTTGATTTAGACTGGCCGAGCGGGAGTTGAGCATCTTCTTTCCAGCCGTGGGATTCATCTCCTCTTATCATGTCTTCACATTGTCTGTGTCTTTAGCAACATCTGTCTATATGTTTTTCCCTTCAAAGTCCCTCAAACATCATTACATTGGCACTGTCACTGGAAAGATAACTAATCTGTTGCTGCTCCATTTCCAGTTGGGTTTGGCCACACAACCAAATCTTGCCTTTTCACCATTGGCTTCTGCCAGCTGCATGCAGCACTGATTTAGTGAACACAAACAGGTCGACATAGTCCCTGTCCCTTCCCCATGAGGACCCGGACAAAGTGTTGCTGTCATCTGCACTCGATCGATCATAAGCAGCAGCAGCAACAACAGCAGAGACGATAATGTATCAGCATCTGTCATATGCTTTGCAGTTTGCACAGCTACGAAGTGCAGAGATTTCTCTTTCTTTCTTTCTTTCTTTACTTACCTCTTTTGTAATCGATAATTTTGTTTGTTGATCGGGTGATGATGTTAGGCATACTGCGCATTTTATATGTGAAGTTACTGAATCTTCTTCCACTTTATATTTGAACTGTAAGTTAAAACGATCTCTTCAGAAAGGACTACTAAATTTCCTCAGCCTTTCCTCCCTTCTATGAACTGTGGCTGTCTTTGCGTTAAGAGTCTCATCGACAGCACTCTTACCGGAGCATGACCTCATCGGCTTAGACTTCTTTTCTTCTCCTCAACTGATGTATCAAGATAAATGATGGAGACCCACTCCTAACCTTGGAGACAATTTAGAGGTCTTTGGGAGTCTGAATCAGATGCTGAATCAAGCAAGGGTGCCACTTGCGCTTGCAAATTCAATGGGGGGCATGATTGGATTCATATGCAAAAGGGTTTCAACTTGGGGCACATCGATCAATGTTCTGTTCCATATTCCTTATAGATTGTATTCCCAATTGTCTCATATCTATAAAGTCCGTGTTAGCTTCTAATTTGTTGGCATTTCTCTTCATGAAGACTTTGTTTGGCTCTTAGATTTAACTCTTGTGTAAAGGAAAGCTTGGGGAATTCTATCGAAATAAGTTGTCCATGAGAGAAGATACTAAAGAAAGCTGCGTGGGTTGCAGTAAATTGAGTTCCAAGCTTTCATGCCATGGAGAAGCAAATCACTGATAACATATATGGTAAAGATTCACCCTTAATAGTCAGAAAAAGTCAAAAGCATTTTCATGGGAAATGGCACCACCTCCTTTCCATTAAAAATCTTTGACATGCTTGCAACAATGAATGGAATACAATTATACAAAATGATTTCCCTGTGTTTTAAATAAGAATCACATGAAGCAGAGCCAAGTTGCTCGTATCTATTGGTTCCATAGCTGCGATGGTCAAAAGGAGGGTGTGTGACTAACGATGGAAGAGAAAATGATGTAGGCAAACTGACCTTTGTAAGGATCATCTTTGACTTGTCTATTTCCTACAAGCAAGTGAACTTTTTATGAAAGAAAGCAGATGGAGTTCTCCTTTATTTTATGTTATCTTTTTCGACTTGTATTGCTTTAAGCCATTATTAAAGAAAAATGGTTAGATAGATTTATATATATTAATATAGTTGCACTGTTCATACATGAATTCTGAAAGCTGTTCTACAAAGAGACATTTGTTTGACAGATTTCAGGCTTGTTGGCTTGCATCAATGATTCATTCAGCTATTCCACATGTTTAATTATAAAGATTCATAATCAATTCCAGGAAATCATTCATGATTTGTTCCAACTGTGCATAACAGCAATTCTCTAATTCATCTAGTAAATTCATGGGCATGTTTTGATTTCCTTGCTATATTGTAAGTATCAGTTTTTTACTGCGTTAATTCTTGGACAGGAGTGCTGGCTTTAGAGAAGCTACAGTAGCGGCTGTCCGGCACCGGCTTTTGACGTCAAAGGGCGATTAATCCTCCACCTCTTTCATGCATGATCTGGTCGCAGAAATGCCTAACATGCACGTACTTGCTCTCTCTCTCTCTCTCTCTCTCTCTCTATCTCTCATGAGAAAGACAGAGACGTAGAGATTAAGCAACCTCCCCACGTTTAAAGTAAACACCACAGGAAACTTCTCCTGCAGCCCTGTCATCACATAATGGCTTCTCATTTGTCAGTGATTATGAATGATAACTGAGGCAGGCTAATCGATAATTCCTAGGGATGGCAAGGGGATCAGATTTTTCTCAAGTATCCAATCCACTTAAGCTGGATTCCAGTGTCCTTCGATTGGGTACACCGACCTCAAACAAGGATGATACATGGATGGATATCTTTTACAGGAAAATGAGAAATGGAGCCACTGATGTCATTGCAGAAAGCTCTGAATTGGCACCTCCGTGAAGGCTTTTAGATGTGCGTGCATATGTGAACTCATAAAGCCATGGTGATGCATGCATACCCACCCAGTTTCCACCCGAATGGCGTCTTGCTCGTCTGAACAAGGAGGGGTTTACCTGCCGCCGATACTGTTAACTGTGGTCCTGCATGCACATGAACCACGCGTCGAACCGGCGGGTCCTATGCTGTCGGATGCGATCCAACGGAGGAAAATTGACCTCGCGGTCAACTCCTGCGGGCGCCCACAACGGGGTGGAACACTGACACCGTCCCACGTCAGCGTCGCCCACCTCAGGGTCAGCGCGCCGGTCTCCCAGCGCTTCCCTTCCCATTGGCACGCGTCCGTCGACGCCTCAGAAAGTAGAACCATGTCCTGATTGCCTTCGGCGGTCGTTCATCCTTTCGGAGTTCTTAATCCCCATCCATGACCGAAGATCACCGGTTGTCCTCCGTCGACTGCGCCTGATGCCCATGCGACCGCGATCGACTCCGTCTCCACCAAGAAAAAGACTCCTTTGCATGACCGAATCATCCAGCAACCTCTCGCGGGTGGCGCGATCTCTCGACATGGTGGGACGCACTCGTGGGAGCCCACACTCCACGAGAAATTTCACGTTTGATGCGACCCACCATATGCAGAAGGCCAACATGTTATATAACATTGTACGCATTCTCAGGTTCCTCCGTTCCGTCCCATTTCCTCCTTCCTCCCTCTCTGCACCAAAAGAAAAGAAGAGGAAGGGTTATACTCTTTCGATCTGATTCCACACCATCCATTCTACCGCAGGCGATCTTCATGTCCGGATATCACGAGAGGGAGCACTTCCGCTCCCTGTTCCATGACGAGCTAGCAGCGCTCTTCTCCCAGAGGCCGACAGACGGCGCCGCCTGCATTAGTGGTGGCCCGAGCGGATCCGACACCGGGGCGATTTTTCCGGCCGTGACCTTCACCGATGTGCCGCTTGGCTCGATGATGGACAACGACGCGCTCCCTAGAGTTTTTGGCTTGTCATGCTCGGCTCCGTTGGATGCGCTTGGCCCCGGAGGTAGGACGGGGTCTCCTGAGCTGATGGTGGACGTTGGAAATGGTAGTGGCAGCTTGACACCCACGTTTGGGTGCGGTGGGCGTGTGACTACAGTGACGACCAACTCTTCGACCTCTTCATTGTCCGCTGAGGCCGCCGGCGAAGAGGATGCGGACCGGTGTAAGAAGGAAGAGCAACAGGAGGAAGAAGGTGATACGTCTAAGAAAGTGTAAGTTTTGCTAATAGATCCTTTTCCTTATCTGCTCCTTGAAAGGCTTCGGTTTTGTTGGATGATCGCACCGAGTTCGACCCTTTAAAACAATTCCTATAGGTGGTTGATTGAAGTAGAAAAGCTCCGAAACAAGCGAGATTCGCTTTTCAGGAGGCTTTCCTGCTGATCCTTCCTTCTGTAAGCACTAACAAAATTAAGACCCTTTGGGATGTGAGCTTGTACATCTCGACATGATAAACTCTGAAGATCTTTTCTGTTTCTGTCGATCCCAGAAGTCTTCCCATGATGTGATTCTTAGGGATCTCCAAATCTGGAGAAATATGAGCTATGAGAACGACAAGATTAATTCTATTTGATCGTCTGATTTCGTGAAATTTGATGAAACAGGAAGAAACCCAACAAGCAAGGAGAGAGAAGGCAAAGGGAACCCCGCTTTGCTTTCGTGACCGAGAGCGAGGTTGATCATCTCGAAGACGGCTACCGGTGGAGGAAGTACGGCCAGAAAGCAGTCAAGAACAGCCCTTATCCCAGGTTAGTAGTCACGTTGCCGCTCAAGATCTCCCATCCACTTTAGCGCAGTCGTGCGCATTAATGTCAAGTCGTCGCTTCTTATGATGCTCGTGACTTTGCATGCGTTGCAGAAGCTACTATCGTTGCACGACTCAGAAGTGCCCGGTGAAGAAGAGGGTGGAGAGATCTTATCAAAACTCGACCATTGTGATAACCACTTACGAAGGGAGACACACTCATCGGTGCCCCGCAACAGTTAGAGGGAGCACACTGCTACTGCCTCCTCCGCTCATGTCAACGAGCTTCTTCCAGGATCTTGTGATGCAGCAAGCGCACCAGCTGAACAGTACGGCAAACCAAATGCTTCCTCTCCAGCAGCTCGAGTTCTCTCACTACGGTCTCTTGCAAGACATGGTTCCTTCCTTGGCACACCACGGGCAACCATAATACGGAGGTTCCTTGATTCAGATATCTGTGATCCTTACTTTTCTTCTACATGTATTTGGATGTAATATTTTGAGATTCTGCAAACTGTTGTGGTATAGATGAAGATAGAGAGTTCAATAGCATGTCTTCCTGAATCATTTGAATAATTTTCCTTTCTCGATCATTTCTGAGAACTCATCCGCATTGTACCTGTAAAAGCTGATGGTAGATTTGTATAAGCAAAACAAATAATTTCTTTTGAGCGATCCAAAAACTTTATAGCTGACTTCTTTGAATTTCAGTCAAAAACAAAATTGTAGAATTATTAAGACCCTTCAACTTAATATTTTTATAAAAATATAAAACAAGTAAAAATACTCACTAAGATGGAAATACTAGGGTTGGTAATATTTGTATTATTCATTGGAAATCAAACTCCTTCGAGCATCAAATTATTTGGAAGAAAAATTAATTATGTATAAAAATCTTATCTCAACCCCTAATGTAGAGATGATGCCTAAGAAAAATATTTGAAGTGCTCTTCCATGGCTGTTTTAGGTCGACTGTTTTGAATTTTTGTTTTACTATTGATTATATCCATTATTATTTTTGGTAGCATTACTCATTGCCGCAGAAACTGTCATTTCCCTTATTGTCCTTGTTGCACAGTACGGGAAACAGAGAGAGGAAGATGAACACTCCCAAATAACCACAAGCTCCATCGCTGTAGCTCTGTCAGCTTCCATGTTAGTGTAAGCATCTCTGTCAGCTTCCATGTAACTCCAAACCTTTTTGCGTTGTCGCTGTGGTCATCTTCCGGAGACAAATCCATCACCCGACGTCGGCACGCTAATCTTTCCGTATCCTCCCCTTCGAACACCGAGAGACGGACGTCCAGTCGATGTCGTTCGTATCAGCGGAGATGTAGTGGAGCTCGGGATGGGGAGGGGTGGCGCTTCTGCTGGTGGTGCTGCTCGTTACATGTGCGGCAAGGACGCTGAACTGGGCGTGTGGCTTCCTCTTACGGGACCTCAAGGAGGCGGCGCGCTCCGACCCCATGCCCCTCTCCCACGACAACGTCCCCCGCATCGCTCCTTCCCACCATCGTCCTATCAAAGAATTCGGTGAGCACTCCCGATCGATCGCTTCTGTCTCTGCTGCAAGTCGTTCCATGTCGTCACTGATTCATCCAATACTTGAGGCATACGAAACACAGAACTAATCTCAAGCAGTGAACTGACTGGACTGAATCTTATGCTGTGTTAGACACGACCTATCGTCCCACATGCATGCAGGAAGAACGTCCTTCACCTGGTTTGGGCCTCTGCCTCGAGTGACTCTCATGGATCCGCAGTGAGGGGCATCCTATCCAACAAGTTCGGTCACTTTGGAGGACCAAACACAGGCCCTCCCGGACGATTGCTAGTGACTGAACTCCTAACGTAGGAGGATTCTAAACCCCGCTTTCCATCTCGAGAAATTAAAGGTAAATGATAGATCATGGTTCTGTTCCTCTGCTGAATTCATACTAGATTGATGTATACTCACTCTGCTGGATAATAGACTCTTTATAAGCTTCCGTTAGTTAATTTAACTTGTTGGCACTTATACAGTTTCTTTTGTTTACTAAGTGTTATGAATTATGGCTCATAATTGTAAGTACTTGAACATCTCCTCTTCAGTAAGCTATCTGTTGTAGGTTGATGACACTGTCATAACTGGTAGTGTGGCTTCTGGGAATTCTTGTTAGGTGGTACTATTATTATTTACTAGGAATAAAATTTAGGAAGCCTAATCACATATTGCATATCATTGTGAAGAGTCATAGGAGTTTGCAATGGTTCTTTTACAACTATTTTAACAGAAATACAAATATTCGTTTATTTCTTTTTGGATAGATTACACTGGGGGGTTGAAGTGGGAGTAGGGGGGAGACGGAGTGTGGAGGGAGTGGAGTGGGGAGAGGGAGCTTGGGAGGGGGTAGCAGGAGTGGAAGGGGGAGGAAGTTAGCTATCCTCCACTCCCTCTGCCTCTTCCACTTCACCCCCTCCGTCTCTCCCGTCCCCAACTTCACCCCCTCCCCTCCGCCTCCATCACCCTCCGCCTTGGTTACATGTTAAACTTAGAACTGCTGATCTGAACTTTCAGTTGATTCTCGTGATTATAAATCACAAGAGTCAACTGAAAGTTCAAACCCACAGATCCAAGCTCCACTTGATCAAGATCATTCCAATCCAATCCCACAGCCCCTCTACCACAAGATTCACAGAACAATGGACAATCGTATAATTCTTTTCATCTACAAATTCAATAACTACCCCAAAAAATCAAGATGAATGTAAAAGAGATGTATGCAACCTTAATTCACAGAACGTTTGGGACCACGGCTCTGATCTCCACTTGTAATTAAAATCTTACAGATCCAAAATCCCACAACACCTCCACCACCAAATTCACAGAACGATCGATGATCAGATTCTTCCACCAACCCACAAATTCACTCAAAAACACCCAACAAAAACATCATGCTGCATATAAAAGATACATTTAAACCGTAGGCTTCGAAATCCTCAAAAATATTATAAAGAAAAAACTGAAAGTTCTATCCGCAACTTTGAGGTACATCGGTAACCAAGATCAGGCAGATCTGATCCCACAACCCCTCTACCAAGATTCATAGAACGATCGATGGTCAGATTTTTCCGTTCACCCACAAGTTGACTAAAAACAGACACACAGAAGACCAAGCTGCATATAGAAGGCCTTTCTTCAGACTATTCATCACAAGAACCGACTTGAAAGCTCGGACACACAACTACGAGACACCGATGTGACCAAGATCACCGTCAAATCGCAATAAAATCCCACAATCCCCACTTTACAAGATTCACAGAACGATCGGCTATCAGATTCGTTTGTTTAGGCATCAATTTTACAGCAAGAAAACAAAAGGAAACCAAAGAACATTCGGTTTAATATATGGAGAAACCTATGACTGAAGAAGTTCGATCGAATAACCTTGGCCTGATCGGGTAGAAGCAGAAGCCGATCGAACGGAGGAAGACCAAACGAGATCCTTCTCACCGTTCGAATGTCTCTTCTCCCGTTTCGTCCTTTCTCTTGCAGCCTCCAACCGCACTTGTTTACCGGGAAGTGTAAAAAGCTTGGCCGAGGCCTTTTGTTCCGTCAGAGGGTTGTTAGGCGGTGCGGTTACCGCACCAATCTCTCTTATAAAATACAAGACCCCTCTTTTCGCGATAGAATTGGACGGACAAGATGGACTCACCCGTCACAGTCCAGACACCGATCAGGGAAACAACCACTAGACACGCGGCGGCTCATGTCCGAGCGAGGGAGAGCTGCTTTCTTATTGGTCGCCAGTCGGTGGGCCTTGCCAGCAAACAACAAAATAAACAAAGATGGGTGTGACATGAGTCAGACAACACTTGAACCAATATATTATTGCTCACCTATCATTACGTAAGATAAATACAAGGCTATTAGAGAACTTAGAGAATTAAACTAACTACACAGGCAGGATACTTGTCAGTGGAACGTATCATTGCCTAACATCATGATCACATATTCTGTTCATCATGATGGTTGTTCAACTATCTTTTACCTTAATTCTCTCGTATGCACAGCGGAAAGGAATGTGTTCGAGTATATTATAGTTCCGCAGCTGATCTTGTGAAAGCGTTGTTTTGTCAAATGAGTGATGCTGATTCGTGCAAAACTATGTCGGAGCACTCCTGTCCACAAATACCCCTTCGAAGTTCAAGTCAATAATTAATCAAACATATTCGATTAAGTTAAACCGAGAAAGTCTATCCTTATACGTACATGAGGACTTTTTTTATAGCGATCACTTAGAATCATTATACCCATTTATTATGTAATTAATATGATAATGAAGGGTATGGAATTCGATCGAAACCATCCACCCAGCATCATCGAACCCGGGATTGAATGACTATCTCCACATGGTGCTCATCAGGGATATGCCTTTATCAATCGATTAACCATTTCGGGTCTAGGTGGTTGGGGGTCGTTGGCTCATTGATTATCTGGAGCTGATACCATGGGTGTCAACCACTTTGGTCAATTAGTCAACTACGTATTCCCGACATGTCGTGTCGGTCATATGAGATCGACATGTCGATGTGTATTCTCGATTTGTCATCACTCCGCCATATTAATTTCGTCATATCACATGTGCTCCACCCCCAACCTCTCGAGCTAGGAGAGCTGTAAATTTGGGTCTTGAAAAAGAGTTGGGATAACGATCTATGTGTGTCCAATGAGCCAACAAGATCAAGCACAATAGTGAATTATGGGGATCGTATCGGGCCAACATAGTCAAGCATGGCAAAGATTATTGGAGAACTCATTGAGTTGACATAGTTGGGCATGGCAGAGATCGATGGAGCATGCACAAGGTCGACATGGCCAAGCATAGCAAAAAGTGACAGAGAATGATGAAGAATGCACTGGGCCAACATGACCGAGCATGGTGGAGACCAAATAAGAACTCATTGGGTTGACACGACCAAGCGTGGGCTAACATGGCCAAGCATGGCAGAGATTGACGAATGCATTGAGTCAACACGATTAGGTGTGGTGATAACTGACAAAGAATGGCAAAGAACACACTAAGGTGACACAATCAGGTGTGATGGAAATCGATGGAAAATGTTGAATACACTAGGCCGACATGATCAAACATGACAAAGACCGATGAAGAGTGGCCGAGAATGCACCAAGCCAACATGACTAGGTGTGGTGGAGACCGATGGAGACTGCACTAGGGCGACACGACCAAGCATGGTGGAAATTGATGAAGACAACTGATTGTGGTCATGTGTCGTATCTGTTTATTAATGAGTCAACATAACACATTCATCGTGCGCTACGTGCACCTACCGAAGGTTACGACGGATTCGATGTGATATTCACAACGATGTAAATGACCACTGTGCCAAGCGAATCATGCCATGTGTCCTAATATGTTTCTAATAGCACCATGTGATCTGCTATCTTCGCTGTGTTTGGATGCCGAACAAATGGATGGGTAGTTGAATTGTCATCCTCAGACCCTATAAATACCAGCCCTCTACCATTGTTCTTCTTCACTTCTACCCATGGCTAGGACACTCATGGACAACCAACTCGGACTTCCTTCTTCAATAGATTCAATGTCCTTTTCCTCCTCTTCTAGCATCTCAAACTTAGATAGGTTATCGATTTCGTTACCACCCCCGGTGTCGACTATAAAAAATTTATCCCTTGACAAAGCTGAATTGACTGCATCGACATGTGCTATCCTTTTGGGGTAAACACATCATGAAGTGTGGCTTTGCCTCCAACGACAGAATCCTTTGACTTAGACTATGTGGTGTTGGTCTCCAACCTAGAGATTCTCCAAGGGATCTATCATATTTTGACTAGGTTCAAGCTAGTATATGCTTAGTTGAGTGACTAACCTTATGTATCACGTCACATGCTTTGCATAAGCACGAATGTACTGGAGGTAAGACTTTGCTTTCCCTCCACCCTTCTTTTGTTGAGGCTTTCAATTTTTGAAAGTTCTCATCCACCTAGATGACATCGAATTCTTAATGTTTTCTTACATCGTTTGTCAAGGAATGTGTAAAGATGTGCATCTCCCCAGCATTGACTATCCTATTTGCATACTATAATATATGCTTTAGGAGGTCGATTTACTTTCTCTCACCCTGACCTCACAATAGGATTACCGATGCTCTAACCTTTTGTAAGTTCAGAAAAAGGGGTTTTTTTTTTTTGTTTCTTCCGAGAGCGAGTGACCAATTGACTTAGATTGGTTCACCCATAAATTTTCCAATGTTACCTCGAGGTTTAGTTGAAAAAGGGGCAATTTCTCTAACTATCTCAAGCCTTGTCTAAGTCCACCATCATCCTCCAAATGAGTGAGCAATGGCTCATTGACATAGGATTAAGTCTGGCTCCTCAGGGTGGGTAAGTAGTTGGGGTTGTGCTTTTAAGATGCTAGTCGGACCGTTTAACGTCCTCCTTGCTTTTATAGATATGGAGAATTAAGATATAATCCTTGGAATCTCACCCAACGGGTAGATGCACCAAGTATGTTATTTATCAGGGTAGAATGTCAAGAGTGCGCAAAGAAGAAGAGATTGACAGGGAGTACTATCCACTAGTTAGTGACGCAAGAGATTATTGGGCTCCCAAGCAAGGTAGAAGCATCCTCCTCCCCCTCTGCCACCGCACTCATCAAGCCAATAAAGGTGTGAAGATGAGGCACATCGATCTGGGGGACCCTCCCAGAGATCCAACTCCCTTCGCTTGAGAGGTTGACACGAGGCTCGACAAGAGGAACCTCTCTAGAACAACAAGCCTCCTCCTCCTAGAAGTCCTTCTGTGAGTCGGGAGAGATGAATCTCATGTGATATCCTCAAGAGTCTTTTCTCACATATTTGCATGAATACCTCTATATGAAAGGTGTTAAGTAGAGTGAAATCCCATCGAGGAGGTGTTTAGTCACTCCTCGGTCAATCATTATGTGGCCTTTCTATAGGGATTTGTCATTAAGGTCTTTCATCTTTTTTTGCCTTTTTTGGTTCAACCTTTCTCTTTCTAGCAATTATGGACTCAGTTACTATATAATTGTTCACCTCTAAGAGTTTCAAAAATATGACCAAAACCATGAAGATTGAAGCCCATTAATGTATCCATTGATAAGGACAGATGGTATTGGATCAACGACTAAGCAGACCTCATCATTAAATCTTCTTATATAACTCTCTAAGGATTCCTACTCCTGTCCAAGGGCTAGTAAGCAGACCTCATCATAAAATTAAGCTCGAACTCCTTAACCAACTGTCCAAAGGAGAAAATTGACTTTGGGCAAGCTTGGCCAACCATTTATGTGCGGCTCCCCTCGATGTTGTTGAGAAAATTTGGAGACATGAGTGAGTCAATGGTTGTGAATAACATGAGAGTTACAATATGTTTCAAAGAGTCAGATTTTTTTTTGTACATGTTGAGTCAGATTTTCCTTTCAAAGAAACCATAGATATAACTCCACTTTGTTGATTTTTTTTATTTTATCTCCTTAAAATATCTTTAGGCTATAGGTCAATTTTGCTAAGTTAGTCTCGGACCTTAACTAGGAATTTAGTTAGTTGAACGATCAATTCATTGGGAAGATTCGACATTAGAGCTGGAATAGGGATTTGAGCCAGAGGAGGAGATTGCATTTCTTAAGGTGCTAGAGCCTGGGCTAGGCGAGACCCAACTGTCATAGTCGAAACGAGAATAGGTGGTGGAAAGAGTGAAGAAAATGGTGGAGTGAATGAGACGAATGATACTTGTGGAAGTTAGGTAAGCTAAGGGAGATAAGAAGCTGCATATTAGATTACTCTGGTCAGCATTTGCATTTGCTAAACCAGGGTGTTAAAAACTTTAGTAGGCACAATCATGGTAGGTTGAGTTGGTTATCGATGTGGTGGAGGGGGTTGAAGAAAAGCCAAACCTTGAAAAAATCATCACAACACTTATTATGGTGGATTAGGGTTGGCTGATCTAGAAGTTGAGTTAGATATTCATTTTTTAGTCGATCTCATGGAAACATTGCCTTTTCAAACAAGTAACATCGAATTATGTTAAACTACATCAGGATACTCCCGATAAATAATAAACTTAAGTCAATAGATAGTAAGACAAGTCAGACCGGTTAAATTGAGGGAGTCACTTGGGGGCTCCTTTCTATATTGATGATCACTTAAAGTCATTACAATCCTTTATTGTGCAATTAGTGTGATAACAAAGGTCACGAAATTAAATTAACACTATCGCCAACGTCGAACCTGGGACTGAATAGTTGTCTCCACGTGACGGTCATTGGGGATTGCCAGTTGGTCTTATCAACTCACAGTAGGGCTGCATTGTGGCATGCTATCCATACTGATTTAGATTTCTGCCAAATAAAGTGTGCCGATAGTCTTAAACAAAGGGAAGAGGGTGATGTTTTCAGCTGCTCAAACCCTCTTCAGTAATCCAGTCAATTTCATGATGCAAGAGAGGGCAGATCTAAATCTCACACAAGTAAATAATGGTGGATTTAAGATTGTTCTTTGTCTCTTCTTATCTGGCAAAGATTTAACCATGAATCAAAAAATAAATTACTAAGAATTATTTTCTCTCTCCACTGCTCTTACATCTCAAAAGGAGGCTACTGTCGGAGAAGGAAAAATCCCAACGTACAGGAAAGACAGCCATGCTTCACCCTCTTTTCTCTCTCGACTCATCAAGCAAACACGCAAGCGCCCTCATGGCACTCACCTGCACCTGCAGCGCCTCGATGTAGTCGGCCGTCTCCTCGAACAGCCGCTCCGTGCCCAGCTCCTCGCCTCCAGGGACCAGCCTCTGCAGCGCTCTGACCCGTGCCTCTACCTCCACCGCCTCCTCCTCGTTCGCTCCCACTCCCAGATCTCCCCCCTCCTTCGAGGAAGTCAACGCCTCGCTCTGGCACCCGCAGCCGTCACTTGCCGTTCCCCTCCGGAGGAGGAGGAGGCGGCGGCGGAGTGCGCGGCTCCAGTGGCGGGAGGACCGGGCGAGGCCCATCTCCGCTGCCATCTTTATCCGTCTACTCCTCTCAACGAGGCTGGCGTGGCCGCGCTCGGGCGAGAACGGGGCGTGGAGGTCTTGGTTGGCCATGACACGGAGAGTGTCTCGTTGACGAGAGAGAGAGAGAGATGAGGCACAGCGGGCGGCATATATATTTATATGCATAGTAAGCGTTGCGGAAAAGAGAGAGAGAGGGAGAGAGGGAACACGACACTAACATGTGCATGCTTGTAATTCAAGAAATCTTGGTCTTCTCTTCGGTCTACATAATAGTCCTCTGCAATAAACCATGTAAGAAATGGAGGATGTTTACCGTCTTTCGAAGCCCTTTAAGGAGAATCGGACACAGCTGATACCAACAATTGTTCGCCAGCTCAAGGTCAACCTAAATAATTTTACCTTACCATTAGAAGGTTCATAATATCAACTATTCTAACAGAGAAGAATGATGTCCAGGAAAGGGGCCCATATCTAACGTAACATCCACTGTCACCACAACCTGTAGTGCTCCTCACCACTTTCCACTGTCAGTCACACAGTTCGCCATGTGCCTGCTATGCCATCTCCCACATGAGCCCGGAAATGACCTGCTCTGACGCTTGTCGCAGTCTCTGTACCAAAACCCGGATCCCCCCTCTACAGTTCGGAGCGCCAGCGGAGCCGGAATAAAGCTGACGGAGACGTGTCATCAGTCGGAGCAGTAGCGGCAGCAGCAGCAGAGCAGCGGTGGAGGAGCAGAACAGGGAAGAGAGAGACGTGGTGGGCACATGCCATCACATGATGCCTCGGACCTATCGCCCATGTGCTTGGCCCCGGCGCGCACCACTTTCGCCGGCCCCACCACGTCCCATAGGGCCTCCGACGCCGGGCGCGCGAACGGCGCGCTAACAGCCGCCTGCCACGCCCTCCCTGGGTCAAGGCGTGGTAGGAGGCGAGCCGTGCCCTCGCTCGTTAGCCGCCCGCCACGCCCTCGCGGGTCAGGCGTGGTAGGAGGCGAGCGCACGGCGGTTGAGAGGGTGGTCAGATCGTGGGGGTACAGTTCTACTCTTACGGTTTGTTGTGGAGTGGTGGCCGTGGGGGCTGCACGTGGGCAGGAGGCGAGTGAAGACGCCTTGGGATCCTCATCTCTGGTTCTTCTGCTGCTTCGGCTTCTGGTTCTGATCTGCTCGGTGACTGCCATTGTTGCTGCGGGCTTGGTCCTCCCCGTGGTGGCTTCCTGCTTCACCGGGTCTGCAAGGCCCACCCCACCTCGGAGACTCTACGAGGAGCTCTCAGCGATAGTGCAGTCAGAAGTTGTCCTCTGGTGGATTTGTCCATTTGCTAAGCTTGCACACAGACCATAAGTAGGGAGCAACTGACAACTTTGAACATACAACATTCCTCTGTAGATTGTCACTAAGTCTGCACAATACACTTCCCTTTGGTTGCTGCCACCAGAAGAAACTATTTCTCCACCACAAAGGTGGCTGGTTGCTGGGAAGGAGGAGGTAGGTTTAACATATACAATAAGCTACCTTTTCAAAAACCTTCATCAACTAGAATCATGTAAAGATGCTGTTGTTTGCTCCTGTAGTTATTACACAACGATGCACAACTCTCCTTGTCCTCTTCACAGAAGTCAAGTAGCACTTCTACAACTTTCTGGGCATAGCAAGCTCAAGTTAATAGACATCTCATACAAAGATGTGATTGATCTCCCTTGAGAATACCATCAAGGTATTCTGCGGAGCAGCATCCAATTCTTGCGCCGCCAATTACGATGCTCTTTCGGACATGCTTTGCATCATCCCTTCTCCTAGATCCAGAATATTTGCCAGGAGAACTTATGTGCAGGCTCCAACTCATTGATGATCTTCTAAATCCTTTTCTCCCATCTCTCTCCATGTGTCCGACAAGCAACAAGCAGTGCACCAAGATTTATCAAGCTAGGACACGATGATCATCTCCTCTTCCTCTTTCGACATCCCAGACAACAAGATCTGTCAATCATGCATGTTGATCAATTTCTGAATCAGTGCCATAGATGTTCCACATCGAACTGAGCGAAATATTTCCCGTGGTCCACCAATCTTCCAATGGCTACAGGCACGAAGCAAGGACACAATCGTTACTCTCTCGAGTGATGCTACTGTCTTGTCCCATGGAGCTTAACTGCATCATCAGATCTTCCATGAACAGCAAAACCTCTATGCATAGTGTTTGGCATTTCATCGAACAATTTCTAGCACTGTTTCTTACCTGCACGTAGTCTGCAATAATGGTACTTCAAGAGACAAACATCCTTCTTCGGCATTTCAACAAACAAATTCCCAGCACGGTCGACATGAATATAGAGCGTCGGAGAAGGATAGCAGGCTAGAGTGCAGGCGTTGGAGGGGGTGTTGTCGAGGAGGAACAATTTCTAGCATAGTGTAAAGGATGACAATCTTGATTTCGATCCTCGGTGCATCAGTTTGATCTGATTTCACGAGATCGTATTCGATCAGTTCCCAAGAAATGAGATACAGAAATCATAACTTGTAAGAAATAGATCGAGCAAACAAAAAAACATCACATCCTATCATCTCAAATAAGCTTGTTATTATCAGCCACGTATCTATCTACAATTATGTTCATGTAGATATCTAGCTAAAGTGTTTGACACATAGATCAGTATCTATCCACAATTACACACCAATATCACAGGCTCCGATCTCAAAATTCGTGCCAGCACTCTAGTTCCAGGTTTGACTAAGCTTATGGAAGAAGAGTGGAGTCGAGTAATCTGGGTTCTTTGAGCCACTGCCACTGGCAAGCTCTTGCTCCCAGGCTGCAAGAAGCAAAAGATGATCTTAAGACAGATTTACTGCCACTGGCAAGCTCTTGCTTGATCCCAGGCTGCAAGAAACAAAAGATGATCTTAAGACAAAGATTTGCTGCCACCAAAGAGTCCAAAAAGAGAGAAAAAGAAGACAAAGAACCTTAACATCACCTTTCCCATATGATTTAATCTCGTGGAACAGTAAAAGTGTAGCATAAAGGAGAGGTTCCCACCTCAACCACCACCCCTTGTTTCATCATCATTATCACCATCATTAGCCAGCCCACACAAGGATTCTTCATTCCACACCATCATCCTCTTCCACTGCTGCTTTCCTCTGCAAACTTCTCCTTTCTGCTCTTTAATACCACCCTATCTTGCGTGCACCTCCAAACCTCCCATCCTTCTTTCACAAGCTTCCTCTTATTCTCCATTACACCGTGAAGGAAACTCTGATTCTGTCCTGTCATATATACCGTTAGATGAAGTAAATTAAGTCCTTTTTACTGCTTAAGTAGACTTCTCTGTTCTCTCTAGAAGCATCACTCTCCTCGAGCATCTGAAACAGAGCAACAACAGAAGAGAAGACAAAGAGAGGTTGAGGGAAGCCATTGGAGATATGTCTGTAAATGTCGTCTCGTGTCTCATCTTCCTGTTGGGCCTTCTATTCTCCTCTGGTTAGTACAAACTCTCTGCATTTTGACCCATCTCTATGTTGGTTGAACAAGCTACTACTTCATTGCCACCATTATCAAGCTTGAGAAGCCTTCACACAATCGGGTTGACAGAGTTGCGCTCACCAGCATCAAGAACCAAACTCTTCTCAAACCTTCAAAAATGAAGCATTAGGCATGGCACCTCATAAGAGGAACAAACTTAACCATAAATATCATGCTTATGTCACTTTTAAGGTTTGGCCATTATTCCTCTTTATCATTTTGTCTTAGTTTTAACAATGAGTAAATTATATTCCTATAACCTCTAGATAATGCAAAGTGAAGAAAGCTTGACAGATATTCTTTAAAACAAACTCTCTTCTTATTAGTTATATTTCTAAAATTAAACTTTTGTTCATCATGTTCTCATCTTACATCACACCCATCAGAAGGGAAGCCACTTTTTGCAACTCTCCCTCTCGCGCATAAGCAGCATCCAAACCAGGAAATTGATCTCACTAACTCAGAAATAATTCGCTAACTGTATATTTAACATAACAACCTTGAATTTTTTTAAACTCAAATGCAAGCCTACAAAAAGTTTGATCCCCTTCATCATGCTTTTCCCGTAGATTCTAAAGTATATGTATGGCTTTTTCTTTTGGCAGCAGCTGTTTACTGGTACGTTTTTGTCAGTTCCATTTGTTCACAATTGTAGGATGAGATTAAACTAACATTCAATTTTTATAACTGCTTGGAGTCCAATGTTGACTCTGCAGGACTTGCTAAAGAATCAGAAGATGATCTGTCATTCAATCCATCTCTTATGCAGAAAGCCAAATCTAATAAAGAAAGCATATTGCTGAAACCTATAGTTTATGAGCCTGAAAGACAATCCAACAGAAATCTACACACCCGAAACAAATTACAATCCTCAAGGACAGTGCGGGAAATGGATGTTGTTACTCCATTAACAACAGTTCCGATGATAAACCCTACAACCACCCCAACTACAGTGACTCCCAACTATAATCCTTTTCCCACAACATCAACTCCATCCATGACTCCAACTACAAACCCATATTCAACTCCAACGATGGCGACCCCATCATCACCATCAGGCCAAAGCTGGTGTGTGGCAAGTCAAACTGCTTCACAGACTGCATTGCAGGTTGCTCTAGACTATGCTTGTGGATATGGAAGTGCAGATTGTTCAGCAATTCAGCAAGGTGGAAGCTGCTACAACCCAGATACAGTCCGTGATCATGCATCATATGCATTCAATGACTTCTATCAGAGGAACCCAATTCCTACCAGCTGTGATTTTGGAGGAACGGCTGTGATCACCAATGTGGATCCAAGTAGGTTTGGTTACATCTCACAATTCCGCTACATTTTTAAGTAAACCTTATACATCCAATTCTGTTAACCATTGATGTTCAAGGAATTTCTTAATCATAATTACTTATATTTTTAAAGTCAATAATAATCAAATCCTTCACAACATAAGATGCAATTTGATCATGCCCTATGATGAAATTTGATAGTATTTATTTCATGAGAGAAATTGTCACAAGAAAATTTTCTGCATACAACTTAGTGGTAACAGGTTTCTACCTTAACGTATTACTCAATCCTACAGACAATGATAGGTACCACTTAAGACAATCGTATCATAATGTGACAAAATATACTACCATCTAAGAGTTTAAATATCATAATTCTAAAAGCAATAGTTCCAACTAAAAAAGAAATTCCTCCTTGTATTGGATGTGATGCCATTAGAAGGGCACACTCCATGACACTATAATAGGAGGCACTTGGACTTAATGTATCATCTACAAATCAAATATGTACACATATAGCTTTAATAGCTCCTACTGCCTCCATTTATTTTCTTTCGGATATGCATAATAGACCTAATTACATCTAGCTGCAGCTATCTAGAACTTATGTTTTATTCTATCTGAGACTAAAGAGAAAAGTAGAAAACATTAAATGTATTATATTCTAAAAACATAAAACGTATTGTATCATAATACAATACGAATCATGCATTACTCACCATGCAGTACGTTATGATAGTTGTTGATATAACATCTAATTTCTGGGCAATCTCACTGTTTACTCTCACAGGTACTTCAACATGTCAGTATCCATCAACAAGGTAAATGTCCTGCCAAAAACTTACCTTTTTCCAGTAACATTCAGTTACCTATATGATCATTACAACTAACAAAAAAGAAAAAAAATCTTCCGCCTGCATTGACAGCACAAGCTCATCCGTCCTCAACACAACTTATCCTACTGGATCAACACTCTTTGGGTCTGTTCCGCCAGCTACAAGTGGTTCCACCTTGATGTTAAACAGCATAACACCTCCAATCATTGTAATATGTCTCCTGATGTCACTGATCTTCTTAAGTGTCACCAGATAGACATCAAAGATACTCTATAACGAGCCAAAGAAAATGGGATGATGGCCATTGTTTGCTACAGCATCTATGGATACCCAAGAGAAAAGAGGCAGCACTGGAAATCCAACCAAAAAGCAAAGGAACCCTCTTGGAAACTCATTCTATGGAGTGAGGAAGCTGACCAGGATGTCCTTTATAGCAGAGACAACAGCCAGCAGACTCCTTAAAAGTCTCCAGTAGCAGGGATAGTTATAAACAATTCACTTCATTTTGTAGGTACAAATATCATCTATTTCCGTTTGATTGCACTTGTTTCTTCTTATTTGAATAAGTAGCAGTTTGAAGCTTCATCAAACAAATCCCTTGAATTGATGATGTTTTGGAGATTTTCCAAGAATGATTTAGGGAGACTAAAATCAAGAGATACACTCAAGTAAGAACATTAACAAATCCTCAAGCACAAGGTAACTGATAACTTCTTTACACATCGTGAGTCTGTATTCAAATTACTCCTATGCACAAGTCTCTAATCTTGCTGAAGATTTGATTCCTGGGGAGTAGAAATTGTTCCTGAACGGACCATTTGAAACAAGCATCTTTAACCTTAAGGTTACAAGATTCAACCAGATCTATATCGATTACATGCTTTGGGCTTTCCGCGACATCTAAAATGGCATGGTGAAGGATACGCACAATAGATGCGTTAACTATTACGAAAGCAAGTAGAAGCGCAGAGTTAGGCGAGCTTACTACACGGCCAAAACGAACGGCAGAAACCCGCTGCTGCCTCAGGGCGACTCTCCGCCGCGGCGGCCGCCGCCCCCTCCTCGCAGACGGGAGCGAGTGGCCGGAAGAGGCTGACGGTTCTAATCACAGAAGAACCAATTGTTTGAAGAAACAGCAGCAGCGGATCTCTATCACACCGATTGATGCTAGCGAAGGCTCGGAAATTGCACGGAGAGGTTGAGAAGTGCTGCCACCCGAGGGGATTAGCTTTGCCGGTTCTGTGCAGCCCACGTTCGGATGTGACGAAATGATGGACCCGCGCATGCAGTAAGGGCCTATATAACCAATACCCATACCCATAATATAAGATGATTGTGCCCTAACCCCCAAGCCCAAAGTCTTCTTCCCCTCTTCTCCCCCCTCTTACCACCACAGCGTCCTCCTCCGTGGCGAACGGGGCAACGACCACCAGCAGTCAGGTGCTTCTTCTTCCCTCCTCCTCCCTTCGATTTGAAACAATTTCTGGTGGATGTATGATTCATCCTTTTTTTTATCTTCCGATTTGAAACTTTCGATTCCATCTTTCGGTCTTTTGCGGACATTGAGATAAACATGATCTCCAGTTCTTTGTATACTTCGTTTGTCTTTTTGTATTCTCATTGCATTCGCCATCGTATCAGTATCTTTGTTGTAGCTTTCCAGCTCTGTTTCAGGAATCATGTTCCTTGATAGTTCGATCATCTACAGATCGAATGCGCATTTCATGTGACTTCGTTATGGAGAAATGATACAATCAAACCTGTTTAAATAGTGATCTGAAGATCTGTTGGTGCTCAGCAGGGATTATATGTTTGCTTGTCTTACAGGGTATGTGGATGTTTGCTTTGTGACAGGACTTTTGGTATGCATTTGAAGATTAGTGTGCTAATATATCAGATGCTATGCATTTGAAGATTGGTGTCGTAATATATCAGATGTTATCTGTTTATTTAGTCTAAAATTCCTTGGGGCATTTATTGGAGCATCCGTATCTGATTTGATCTTTTTTGAACTTTTCACTGGTGGAACTAGTCTTTGTCGAAGAGATAAAGATACAGTGGGTTGTGGAAGGGTGGAGGAAGATGGCTGCACAGAAGTCGCAGCAGCAACAACTACCTGGTGATGGTTTCACCTCACAGTTCGGGGGCTTGTCTAAAGCTCAGATATATGACATCATGAGTCAAATGAAAGTATGTTTCGTTCTTTCTTTATTTGATATCCAAGACAAAAATCCATGATCATGAACTTTCTGTAATTATTTTATGCAGGCTCTGATGGAGCAGAATGAGCAACAGGCAAGGCAAATCCTTGTTGACAATCCTCTTCTGACTCGAGCTCTGTTCCAGGTTATCAATCGCTTTGCTCTTCCCCTGCATCATTCTGGATGCTAGAATCTTTTTTCTCTCTCTCTGCATAGTAAAGAATGAATGTGTTGGTCGACTTTTTTTTAGTGCTTTGAATTGAATTGTAGGATTGATTTGAGCTTCATGTATAGGATATTTAATCATCTCACATTATTGGAGGATATTGACATATGCGGTCATATGATCATTTAGATTCCAGCATGTGTTATTAGTTCATAATGATTTGTTCTTTTATTTGCTAATCTCGTGCTAACTTGCATGCCTTATTTTCCTTTCACTCGACTGGCAGTGCAGATGATATCCAAGTACTGAGAACCCATCTGCTTTTTATGGCAGCATATCAAACACTTTATGAAGTCTTGTTACCTCAACGTTAGTCTGACCATGAAATCATTACTTGAGTTTAATCATACATAGTTTTGTTTGCTAGTAGCTGATTTTAATTGGAGTATTGTATATTTCATACTTATTTATTAATCAGTGACATTGTTCATACTCATCTTTTGACGTCGAAAAGCTTAATTTGCTTTCAAAAGCAAGATGGAAAGTTTGCATCTTATTTGAACACTTTTCAGTTTCTGACTCCTGATTTTCTTGACTCCATCTTTTTGTTTCATATAGAAACTATGTTTTATTCATAAGTATTATGTTTAAGGCTTAAACACTTCATCATTGAAATGGTGGGTTATTTCAGGCACAAATAATGCTTGGAATGGTGCAGCCTCCTAAAGTGGTAATCCTAAATGTTTTTAGTTTAGAATCTACTTTGCAGATAAATAGAGACTTGGTTGCAATGCATTAATGCTCTTTTTGTTTCATAGATACCCAATATCCAGCAGGCTTTGTCCCAGCCACAACCAGCAGAGTTTAAACAGCCACCTAATATTCAAAGCTCTCAAACACTGCCAGTTGAAGTTGGAGCACAAGGTGAATCTAGTTCATCTCAAACCGTGCTACCAGCTAGACCACAACATCCATCACAACCGTCCATTTCCATTTCACCTGCATCTGTTGCTTCATTGACCTCCCAGTCGCAGGCAATGGCAACGGCACTTTCAGCACCACAAATTAAGAATTTTCCAATTGTGCAAGTTCCTTCAGTGCAACCTCCACAATCTTCCCAGAACCAGAATATATCTCTGCCCGCTCCTGCTCATCCACACTACTCAACTCTGTCATCCCATCTGCCTGTGGTGTCTGTGCAACCACAGCAAACTTTGCAGAATCCTGGAGTATTCAGTCAGGTCCTACAGCCACCATTACCACTGCCACCTAGACCAGTTGCAAGACAACCTTTTACGCATCAGCTTCCCCCACAGATAACTCACTCCGCTGGTTTTCAACCATCAAGTGCACCTCAACATCTTTTAACACAACCCTTGTTTCAGGTCAGTTGGCAACTGGAGTCTTCATGTCTTTTCCAGGAATTGCTTTCATTCTTATTTGCAGATGGGACTAGCTGCAGAGGGTGACAAACTTTTAGAAATTTTCAGTCAGGTGTCACCCCTCCAAGTTCCTTTGTACAAGGACAGCCACCACTTCCAAGCCAGCCACCACCTCAGCATCTTTATCAGGTGCATTTAGATTCTGCTTTTGAACAAAATATTTGGCTGTCTCGAGTGGTTTAGAATGTTAAGCTGTGAAAACAGTCCAAGCAATGTGGCAAACAAGATGTGTAGTGAACATTAACATGCAGAAAATGAACTCTTTCTGTTATCATTTCAATGTGCTATACGAAAATATGTAAAAAAGACCTGTCGGTGTCAAATTAGAATTTTGTCCAAACATGTGATTTGTATCTCTTGTTGTCTCCTGCATCAACTATGACATTCTGTGTCTAAGACTTTAAAAACCTTTAAGCAGCAAAACCGACAAATGCAATTGCTAATATTGCATGGTCCACTTATATTATGTACCAAATACATTTTTGGTTCTGTACTTAAATGAAGTAACAGCTTGAGTTGTTATCTGTTAGATTCACATAAACTGTGACATTGTGGAAAAATGAAAAAAAATTGTTACATGTATATACTAAAAGTTGTTGTTTTGATATATGCCATGTCCTACTAAACAAAGTTGTTTTCTTTTAGCAGGTCAGTTCACATATAGGTCCAGAGTATGGCAACCAAACTGGCACGGGTACCGCCTTGCCAGCTGACAGAGGAGCTCCTTGGGCACCTGGCCCACCGGAAATGACAAAAGCGGGGACCCAACTTCCAGGACCACCATTGATGGCTACAGGAACAAGTGGTCAGCCACCTCGCTCTTCGGTAGTAGCCCACATCGGCCTCATTTTATATGTCATTTGCCTGTAATTTGTTGGTATAACCAGAAAAATCATTGATCGGACCTTTCTCTTTGTGGTTGTACAGGTGACACCAGAAATGGAGAAGGCATTGCTTCAGCAAGTTATGAGCCTTACACCAGAACAGATCAATCTTCTATCTCCAGAGCAGAGGAATCAGGTGCTTCAACTACAGGAAATGCTACGACAGTGATGATTTGGGCCTTTTGTTTCTCCATGCACGTTGATCATGTCAAAAATGACCTTGTGACTTGCTGCTTTGATGGGTTCTTTTGGCTGTAGGCGATTTATATAGCTCTGCTATAGTGGTCATTCACCAAAGATTGACCATCTAATGTTGAAATTTAACCTGAAATGGCACTTGATATTATGATGATGGTGCTGTCGGGTCACCACTCGACCACCAAGGCAGATTCACTGTAGTACACTGTCATCAGCTGTTATCAACATTTGATTTCATGGATTGCTTTGCTCCTTCATTCAATTGTTGGACTTGGAGAATGCCGCTGTTGTTTAGGTGCGACGTTTACTGTCATTAGAGAGTGCTCTTTTTCGAAGGTATTTTCTTAGGAAATCACATCAAGTATGTCATATATGTATGTATGTAGGGTGAATTTTTCAAAAAAGCTCTTCCTTTTTGAAAATTTTCATAGAGCACCCTTATGAAAAATTTCGAAACAATGCCTCTAACCATATGAAAAGATTGTCCGTAGCCTGCAAGGGTCACCTCTACTGGCCTCGTCGACTTAGCCATTGCACGCCTCGCTCGTGACCCTTGCATGAGGTGATGACGATGACTAGGCCCCCTAGAGCACACGATCGCGCTCACTCCTTCCTTGCTGACGATCGCGCTCACTCCTTCCTTGCCGACGATGACTAGGCCCCCTAGAACGTACGGTTGCCCTCACTCCTTCCTCGCCCATAGTTGACTGCACGAGAGGGGGGGGGGGGGGTCTGCAGGTCACTCCCGTGATTGACAATGAGGGCATGCAATTGCCCTCTCTCTTTTCTCGTCCACAATCAATGGCACACCCCCTTCCTTCCTTAATTAACAAGTGCTACAAATAGGTCTGTTAGTGATGACAAGGGCTGCGAGTGAGGGGAGGGGGTGAGTATGTGATAGTGACGAGAGCTACAAGTAAAAGAAGGGACAGGTCTTCTGAGTAATGACAACAAGAGCTATGAATAAATGTTCGAGATCGTAAAGGGGAGTGGTCTGAGGCGGAGGCATGGCAACTGGCGACTAACAAGGGTAAAAGGATTATTTAAAAAATACTATTTCAAAAAATTTTAAAACAAGGGCACTCTAGAAAAAATTTTAAAAAATATTTGTTTTCAAAAATTCACCCTATATATATATATATATATATATATATATATATATATATATATATATATATATATATATATAAAATCCAGAATTGACTACTATCTACACATCTGACAACGAGACCAAAGAATCTAGAGGATCCAATCAGCACTCAGTGAAGGAGATTGTTGGAAGCCACAAAGAATGCTGTGAACCAGCGTGCGCCATGTGTTCGACGGAAACCACAACCTCAAATCCTCCGAGCCAATGAGACCAGAGATATAGATCTCTTGGGATAAGGTCTCCTTCTCCCCTTCCCCTTCAAAAAGCCCCGCGCCTCCCTAACTCTCTCATCGAACTCGTCTCCAACTCTTCTTCCCATCTTGCAGCGTGCCGTCCTCCAATGGCTTCCACCATGGCGCTCTCCTCCCCGTCCCTGGCCGGCAAGGCCGTCAAATTCGGCCCCTCGGTCGCCGACGTCCTCGGCGGAGGAAGGGTCACCATGCGGAAGACCGGCGCAAAGCCGAAGTCCGCCCCCTCCGGAAGCCCGTGGTACGGCCCTGACCGCGTCAAATACCTAGGCCCGTTCTCCGGCGAGCCCCCGTCCTACCTCACCGGCGAGTTCCCGGGTGACTACGGGTGGGACACCGCGGGGCTCTCCGCCGACCCCGAGACCTTCGCCAAGAACCGGGAGCTGGAGGTGATCCACTGCAGGTGGGCAATGCTGGGCGCCCTCGGCTGCGTCTTCCCGGAGCTGCTATCCCGGAACGGGGTCAAGTTCGGGGAGGCGGTGTGGTTCAAGGCTGGCGCGCAGATCTTTAGCGAGGGCGGGCTGGACTACCTTGGCAACCCCAGCTTGATCCACGCCCAGAGCATTCTGGCCATCTGGGCGTGCCAGGTGATCCTGATGGGCGCCGTGGAGGGCTACCGCATCGCTGGCGGGCCGCTGGGAGAGGTGACCGACCCGCTCTACCCGGGCGGCAGCTTCGACCCCCTCGGCCTCGCCGACGACCCCGAGGCCTTCGCGGAGCTGAAGGTGAAGGAGATCAAGAACGGACGGCTGGCCATGTTCTCTATGTTCGGCTTCTTCGTACAGGCAATCGTCACCGGCAAGGGCCCGCTCGAAAACCTCGCCGACCACCTCGCCGACCCTGTCAACAACAATGCTTGGGCCTACGCCACCAACTTCGTCCCCGGCAAGTGAGCAGCCTCTCCCACTGCCGCTGCCTGGCACACTTCATCCGTAGCAAGTAGCAACCTCAGTCATATTGAACGAGATTGCTGTTGACGATGCAAAATAGTTGTACTGTTGATTTGTACTATGGGATTTATTGTGCGGGCTAATTACATGTTATCCTTTAAACTTGAACCCTATTAGCATTGCTAGCTAAAAAACTTATATTAGAATGCATCTAGTTCTGAAAGTGAAACACTTGTTTGCCTTAATATCGTCAGTTGTATTGATGAAAAATACAATATGTGACATCACATATTGAATCGATACAAAAGAGATAGGTAAAAATATAATTTTAATATCTATTTCATTTTCAATGATGAATACTTTGGTGAGTGTATCATAGGTCATGGAGATGAGTTGGATGCGATTGGTGTAGCGAGAGCAATCACTATCTAAATACTCAATGTTGTAGTCGCCTAATTGCGGATGTAGTGACGTTTATAGACCAATGGTGAGGAACACTATGGCTTTGGACCTCCCCCCTCTTCATGGGAACCTCTGCCCTCTATATTTCAACTCGTATGAGAAACCGTCATGCACCAATCGCACAACCGCAAACTTGGGCTTAATCAAATGGACTTGTTCCTTGCTAAATCGATCCAACTTACATGAGAAACCATCATGCACCTCTCATCATCGACCTCTAGGCGACGACTACATTGAACATCTGAATAACTATGTTTAATTAGCAAACGCTCCTCACCATCGACCTCACAAAGGTTCCTCACCGTGACGATTCCAAGCATATCCCCCTTTTCATAGGAGCTTTCACCTTTGTCGACCTCATTGTCACCTCCTTCACAAAGGTCATTTTCGATCATCCAACTCTTCTCCATGATCGACGACACACTCACCAAACTACTCGTCGCTAGAAACGAAAAGAATATTAAAATTAACAAAAATAATAATAAAATTACCTTTTTGTATATCACTTCATTTAGTCCATAACGTCATGTCTCATGTTTTCCATCAATACAACTGATAAAATTAAAACAAATTAAGTTATTTATTTTACTTTAAAAACTATTAAGATCTCAATATAAATTTTACATGAACCACAATACTAATAAATCTAAATACAAGAGAATATATAATTAGCCTTTATTTTATCCAAATAATATTCATGGATTTAGAGTTCAATTGACTTCACAAAAGAAAAAAATCAACGCTCATAAGAACCATACAGAAAATAATTAAACTTGGCTCAATTTTGAAAGGTCGTGCTCGCGATTTGCTAGCATATGGCTAATTTGAGGTGTTCTAGTGGCATGCTTCTGTTAAGAGAGTTCATTCAACTCACATTAAGTCTAAATATTATCAAAGGGATAACGTGACACCTGTACACTTTCTCACAGTCTGAACCACGATTATACATCGCGTAGTAAGGCCATCAGAAAAGCATTCATCAAGCACAATGCTTTCTTCAGGTACAAGAACTGAAATTGCAGGAGAGATAACCAAAAGAAAACATTTTGTTAGTGACTAAGATCAACGAATGTTTGTTATCTTTATCACAAGGGAAAAAAGTCTAGATTAACACACAGCACTACAAGTTAAAACACACTCAGAACTCTAGGATACATGGCCCTTCTTCATCCAATAAGATTAGCAGCCAGTTGAGTACTTCATCGCCACACACTTGGTTGGTCAGTCTAAGAATGCTCCAAACAGTGTATACATGGGATCGAGCTACAAAGACCCTGCAACGCATACTCCAAGACCCAGAGAGGAGTCAACCGCAATGGCTTAGTACCCATGTTGCCAGATTTGGTTTGCTGGCTGAGATTGTGTGGCCTGGGAACCATTCAAATTGCCATCACTGGGGCTTTGTTGATGTTCCCGAGATGGACCTCCCTGCGAAAGGTACAAGTTTGGGTACCCCAAAGCCCCAAGCGGTGAAGCCTGTAGATTCTGTCGAAACCCGCTTTGCTGATTGTGGCCCTGATAGTTATAGAAAGTGTTTGCGGGAAGAGCTGACATTGTTCTTGAACCAGCACCTTGGACCCACATGGCAGGGTTCTCATTCTAGTAACATCCACAATCTTTTTAGGTTTACACTTGGAAGTAAAAAATGATGCTAGTAATTTATGCAAATATTACCTGCTGCAGAGGCATGTAATGACTCCCTTCTTTGTACTGCAAGCTCAAAGCTTCACCCAATCCAGTTGTCGTGTTAGCAGATGCAGTTGTATGGTTGAGGGTGAAGCCCCCAGGAATGCTAGCTGCGCTACCAAATCCTCCATAAGCAGAGGCTATAGAAGAAACCTGTGGTAAGCTAGTAGCAGATAAGCTACTTTTGAATTGTGGCTGTGAATAACTCATGCCTGCACTGGGCGCAACATGATGAGATTGATGGAACGGACTATTTGCAGCATATGCTTGTTGGAAAGAAGGCAAGTAGGGGTAGCTCTGGGGAAGAAAGGAGTAGCTCATCATATTGGCAAAATGGCTTAGAGGAAGAGCAGGCTGAGAGTAGCGGACAGGAAGATGTTGAGGGAGCGAAGCACTCGTGAGCATGGTGGTGCTAGGCAAGGATTGTGGAATTGATTGAGAGTTGGAAAACACCCCTGGATTCAGAGCCTGCACAATGCATCACTAATGTCAGAGCAATAGAATTCTTCAAATGATAGTTTTGCACAATAATAACAAAGTTAACAATTTCAAGAGTGTAGATTAACTAGATTGACACTAATAACAATTTGATATCAACAAGTTCAACAGGGTTACAAGCAGATTTAGTTCAGCAAAGTGCCTTCAGGCATATAAAATGATATGTATAACCATAACCAACCTACCACCACCAATGCCAATCCCAAACCCAGACAAAAAGGTGGAGGGTTGCATTAGGTCACTGACGACCAACGTAAAACTATATCAGATCTCATGAATATGAATCTTAACTAATTTCAATGTAGAGTTAGGCCGTCACCCGAAAGTG